TATGAAATCTTATTTTTATTTGGTTTGCTGACGTAGAGACTCACTGACATGCATATGAAAAATTAACATAATCCATAGCAAATGTGGGGAATTATTAAAATGTTATCCTTAAGCAACATTTCAGATTGATTTGTCTGACACTGCACTGCGTGTGTCTCCTTTAATAATTCACTCTGTGTTCTGGTTTACTAAAGGCTGCTTTGCATCACTGGGGATGTTTTGTTAAAGCTGTACTGTATGTGATTGATTAAAAAAAAGCCTTGTGGTCAATTTATAAGCTCCATAATGGCCCTACAAAGTGCTGTTGTCTCACAAAGGCCATTAGACGATGTCTTTGCTCAGCATATTTGGCAGTATTGTGCTTGATCACGTATGTCTTTCCTTAAAAGAGAGAGTGAGAGAGAGAGAGAGAGAGAGAGAGAGAGAGAGAGAGACTTTAGAGTATATATAAAATATTGATGTACTGATTAAGGATGTTTGAAAAGGTGTTTGAGTTCATCAGGTGTTGAGAGTTCTCCTCTAAAACTATATCTAGGTCACCACTGCAGAGGAACACCATCTCATAGTGTGCAGATACAGAAGGTAAGGGAGGGAAATAATACATGTGATGACACCCAAACTGGAAATCTTTAAACAATAATGAATGATGGTTGTGCTTTCGGATGTGACATGTATGCAAACGTACCGGCCAATGCAACAGACATGTGTGTCTTGTTTGTGGTCACAAAACACGCCGCTGTGCTTTCACGCAGCCGCAACGGAAAAAAGGGCTTGTGTTAAAATAGTTTTGATCCTGTTATAAGTAATTGAACTTGAATCTGGAATGCATACAGTATATTCTTTCAAAGTAAACAACTGCAGGTGTTTGAGGGCAAAAGTAAAACGTGAAATATTATCCCTCGGCCTCCACCGCAGGTTCGGCCTCATTCGTGGAGCAAAACACGTCTGCGGTTCAGAAGGAAAATGAGATCAAGGAACTGCAAAGACTTTTGTAACTACTTAGTCGTGCCGTCGTGCCACGTAGCCACACGTTCTCCTCCGGCAGCTCTCGCACCGCCTTAGGCAGCCAGACTCCAGCTGGGTTGCTCATCTTTTTATAATATAATAACCCCCACCTTCTGGGTATATATGTATACGCCTTCATAATACGTGTCCTTGTGTGTGTGTGTGTGTGTGTGTGTGTGTGTGCATCTCTGAATCCTGTCTGCAGCGTTACTTATAATTGCTGTGTGTGTACATCCGTGTTTGTGGGGACGATATCTGTTCTCTCTCCATGCAGACATACTTGTCCTCAGATAACACTGTCAACGCTGTACCGCCCTCCTCAGAATGTCTGATGCAGTAACATTCGCAGCACAGGCAATGAGGCCGAGGGAGGGAGGCGGGAGAAGAATGAGAAGGAAAAAAAAGAGCGCTTTTAATTTCCTCAGCAGCTCATCAGTTAGGTTTTTACATTTGCACAGGCAGAGAGAAAATCGAATGAACTCCAGATGAGTTTCCAATTAAATGATGAGACATGCTGCTGTCTGAGAAAGACCAAACGTAAATTCATTTTAGGAGATTGTGATTGAGGATAATCTCACCTTTGCAGTATGTGTACTAAACTAGTGGATGCTTTTGTTGATGCGTTGTGATTGTGACGAGTCACTCATCTGTCTTCAGGGATTTAAATGGTACGCAACTATGATCTAATTAAAGCCGTTTGAAAAATAAGGTTCCGCGTCATCCAGGACTGAGGATTCTTCCCGCCACCTCAATCTAGGTCAACGGCAGAGACAGACTATGTGGAAGAAGGAGTCAATTTAATGCAACATGTGGGTAGTGCAACACACTCGACAAAGAGATGCTCTGCAGCCGGTGTCACATTTAATGTACACAGGGGATGTAGTAGCCTAAGATCTTCAATTCACAGTAGTTTACAGCATGTATCTTCGAGCAAAGTATCTTCCCACAACAGTTTGTATGATGTCTTATGAAAGAAAAGATCTGTCCACCTGCACAAGCTCCTGCAGGGCAGAACTTGTTAAGCCAAAACAACTTCTTGGTCTCAGGTTCTAAGTACATCCCGACCAACAGGATCATCGTGGAAGCGTAGCATCGGCGCTCCGGGAGGTAACTTCAAACGGTCAAGATGAGCAGCCTACTTCAAGCCGTTCAAACGGCTGCTGTGGACCAGCACGCACAACTGGCTCTCGGAAATCTGTCCGCCCAGCCTTGTTCACTTTTTGCCTTATCTTACAAATTGTATTTACTTTATGGCACTGATCCACTTTTCAGCCTGAACAACCGTCACTACCAAAGCAGAAAAACAACCTCTTTTTCTAAACCCAATTTCTCTTTATCCTATGTAAATGATAAAGTTCACGTTCACAACAAACAATACAATTGCCGCAAAAAAACAAGACAGAAGCTTTCTAATATCTGATCCTTTTATCAGCTGGCTTTTCTTAGAAACAACCCATCAAATAAGGGACTTAAGGTGCACTTAACAGCAGCTAAAGACAAATCTAACATGCCCGCATTGATTTAGAAACCCGGTTTGAAATGTTTTTTATTTTGCTCCAAATGGTGCTTCAGAGCATTCTGATTGCACCCTGAGTGCCCGCAGTGATAGTCTTTGAAGTGCTCTGCGCCGCGTGCTGAAGCTCCGTATGTGCTTATATCTGGAGCTTTTGTTACTCACTTCATATGCACTGAGTCCTGCGCCATCGTTATTCAATGATTCACACTCTGCAGCCAAAACACTCCCTCTTATCTGTCAGGAGGCTGCAGAGACACAGTCAGACAGCTCTGGGTGGGTGGATGGGGTTGTGGGGAGGGGGACAAAGACTGAGACACTCTCTCAAGAGGGAGGCGACTTTCCTCTCGTTTCCTCGCAACATGAAGCCATGGAGCATCCCGACTTCAAGCGCTTCAGATCCTTAATATTCACGGTGGTGGCATTTTACCACGCGTAGGCGGTGAGATGGGAGAGAGTGTGTGAAGTATTGATCACTCGTGCCGTTGTCCTTGTGTGCTCTGTGTCTCACAGTGCCAGCGGAGTCTCAGTGAGACACAGAGGCATAGTTTATGAGGCGCTTGTAAGGCAAATTTGTTGAGACAGAAAATTGCAATTTATTTAGAGGGATGTGATTATTAAACAACTAAAGGACTGATGCAAGCAAATAAATGAAAAGGAGGCCATTCATTTTTTATTTTTGTTTGCGTGGGTTTAAATGCTACGTTCATTATATAAAGAATGTAAAGATTCATAGTATGTCTGGTTTGATTTTGGAGTTCCTTACTGGAATTAAATTCAAATCTGTATTTTTAGAATCACACCATATCATCCAACTTAAACTACTGGAGAAACACTGTACTTAAATAGCTAGCTTCCACCGGGCTTTTGGTCGCATAATGAAAGCCTCTTTAAAAGATTCATTCTTTTTCATTCAACCTTCACATTAATCCAGTCTGTGACTTAATTACATTTCCCAGAACGACGTTTAACAAAGTAGTGAACGTCTATGATTGCAGCAGGGCCGCTTATTAAAAATGATCTTTGTGGCTGCAGTGCATTGTGGTCCATTAAGACTCCCGCCGCTGAAGACATTGCTGTACCATTGGTGTCAGTAGAGAATGATCCAGACATCAGATACTTGTGAACAAGAAAAATTCACCAATAAACAACAAAATGCAAGGAGGATGCAGAAAGAACCGTTTACTATGGATTTTTCCTCTAACGTGTTGAAATTGCATCAGAAATTAAACCTCCTTTCAGCCATAAGTGTCCACCTAATTCACAGTGCTCAAGGAAATATTTTAAAAAGGCAGATCTACTCTCATGAAGGAAACTGGTTGAAATAATCTGAAAATGCATACTTTTTGTTCTCTCTTTTCAATTCTCCCTCTTGTTGGGCCTCCAGTCGTCCTCCAGCAGCTCTTAGCTGCAGCTTTTCCCTGTGCTCCATCACTGTCAATTAAGCTCCAATCCAAAACTGGGAGGATTTTTAGCTCCAGGGTATTTTACTAGCTACCAGCTTTCACTATAACACACCGCTTCAGTATGAACACCGATTTACATATCAAACACAGATTTTTAATCACAAGTGTTCCTTTCTTGCCAATATGGCCACAGAAAATCATTTTCACCCACACAATCGTACCAAGTAGAACCAATTATGTTCCTTTCCGAGATGAGCTCCACAGTCTATGTCTAAGTCTTATTCCTTTACTGAGTTATGCTTAATGCTTCACAGGTGGAGGTGCGTGCAGCAGCGTGTTTTGAATGCGTGTTATGTGCCCCTGTTTGCGTGGAACATATTGGTGTGTCTACAGGCCGCTGAGCTCCATGTGTATATTTTTGCACTAAGGGGGTAGTTTGGGGAATATGTCTTCACCTCCAATCAGGGCCATGCTCCACCCTCTGCTCTGCTTCCTTCCGTGTTTACCTGGAAACAAAAGGCTGCCTTGTGTTGCCATGCGAGGCCCTTGAGACGACTCCCAGTGCGTGGCTGTTTTTGTATGTTTTCACGTGTGCCTGTTTGCCCGTGCATAAAGTAAATGCTGAGCGCTAAAACATTTGTGTCTGAAATGTCTTTTTGGTGACTTTATGAATTTTTATTCTCCGCCTTGTAAAGTTTGGACGTGTGTTTCGAGACACGCGCGCACATCGATAGATCCTTACAAGGAATTTCATTGGGCGAGTGCTGAAATTCAATAGCTGAAGCAGAATTTAATAAAAAGAGCAGCTTACCGGAGGTTTTGTCTGACAAATTACACAAATCGAAAATATTCCTCAAAGGAGAGGCAGAAATCGGAAGGAAGTGATCGTTAGCCAGCGTCTTCCTCCTCGCCCTCTCCGGGGACACGGCCCAACCACACAGGAACATGTTTGTATCCGTATATTGCTTTCTGTCTCACACGCACAACCCCCCACCCCACCCACCACTAATGCAAGTTAATGAAACCTCTCCTCTGCCTCCTTCCTTTTCTTTTCCTCCACTGTCTCTGTTGTCCAGATGGAGGAGGTAATAGCACGCATGCAGGATGAGAAAAACGGCATCCCCATCCGAACAGTGAAAAGTTTTCTAACCAAGATCCCGAGTGTTTTTTCAGGTACGGCTTTTCTCTGTCTGCTCTGTTCTGTTTTTCGCTCTCCTAATGTTTCCTCCACTCTTCCTCTCCTCCACTTCGCTCCCACCCACTGAGTACCCGACTAGTACTCTTTTCCGGCTAAACAGTATTTTAAATTTCACACCAGCAGCGCCTGAGTGTCAACGGGATCTTATTGGATGCGAGCTGTGCAGCCACAATACAAAGGCCGGAGTGATAACCCATAAGAGATTATTCAAGTTGAAACACTACATTCTAAAGCTAAGAGGAGTTAGGTCATCATCACTGTCATGCCCTATATACAGAAAAAAAAACACAGTATGAAACCAACGGTGTTACGCAATCAAATTAAAAGCTTACAGCGGCTTATAAAGTTAGAGCTTTACAATGCAACAGCATCGAAATCTTATTAAATATTAAGGATTTATAAATAATCCAATAATGTAAGAAATTTCTATAACTGTGCAAAAAACCCTCCTCTTTGCATAACAGCGGCTCGGCATCAACAAATGCCAGAACTTTCGCTGCTAACCGAGACCAAGTGACAGGTCCAGACTCTTTTAGACATGGGAGGCTACGGCGAGGTTGAATGGTTGTCAGTGAGTATCGACATAAAGACACAGCTGAATTTAAATGGGCTAACTTTAGTTTCAGTGACGTCAGTGAAACAATGACGAATCCTGTTTGGCACATAACGAGCAGCTCATGCACGGCTCTTTTTCTGTTTTTGTTTGTTTCCTCGTTCAAGTGTTCTCCACATTGTTTATCTCTCTTTCATACAGTGGGAGGCTAAATTGATTCATTATTTTACATCTGGCCAAGCATCAGATTAGATCCATCCTCGCTCCCCTTTTCATCAGATATTATGCAAAGTACAGCTAACGAACGGCTACAATGGCTTATTCGTTTTAGACTTAGACCTAAATTCAGTTCTATAGTTACACTTCATCGTTGTGTCAAAAAGCAGATAATAATCGTTAACTTTACTATGCATTTTAGTAAAAATGTACGCAGTATCCATCATGGCGGCATCACTGAAGAGCAAGAGATTGGAATGCTCTGATTTCGTGCCTCTGCAGCTTCTCCTCTGTGAACATGTTCACTGCAGCCCCCAGACAAGCTGGGGTGTAGCAAAGGTTTATGCATCATGTTTTTCCTCTGCACCCAGAAAATAAATAAAACTTCTAATCACACTGGTCCTCAAACTGAGTGTGCTTAGTATGTTTCTACAACTCTGTGGTTCTACTTCTAGGAATTTAGTAACTTCTAAATATTATTGTCACTACTATTGATACTGTAAGTCATTTCTCCTTTATATGTTGAGCTCTGCACGGTACTTTTGCCTGTATGCTGTTTTGCTGCAGTAAATATCCAATTAGCATCCTCTGTGTCACTTTTCAGTTAGTACATTTTGATGCACGCACACGCTCACACCCACACCTGCACACAGAGCCAGACGCACAGCCACATCTGTGGGCACAATATTAATCTATTCAACAGGCTTGTTGGAAGATTACCTTTAATCTCTATCTTTGAAATTGGGTCAACATCCATAGTGTGAAAATGTTAATGATGTTAATCCATAGAATCCATGAAGACAACAAAAGCACAGCAAGACAGAAAGAGATTGATGGAGTGAGAGACGGCCACATGGTTGACTGTCTCAGGGCATGAATACCCTCATATCTTCATTTTCACACCTTTTTTCCTGCCTGCTGTGGCTCTTGTCTCCGCAACATACCTTCACCTGTCAGCATGACGTACAGTAATAATAGCTTGGAAAATATATATTTAGCCAAAGTGCCAAAGTTACATGTTGTCATGAGGTGTGAAAATGCCCGGGGGGCCGAGGATGCTGTTATGTTTTTCTTAAATGTGAAAACGATTTAGACGAACGGCAGAAAGATATCCATCATATGAAATGGAAAGTAATCTCAATGCTTTAAATTAAAATTGTCCAAACAAAATATTATTTAATAGAAAGTAGTACTAATCATTTTAGTGCTTTTACAGCAGATAGATTTTTACATGTTGGCATTTCATCTCTTCTGCTCCTCAGACCCTATTCCACCCGGCTAACATCTTCACTTTTACTCTACCTAACCTAACAAGGTAACCTAATTTTAGGACATGGGTCAAAACTGACCCGTTAACGTAACGGATGGTAACAGAAAGCTAACACAAGAGGAAATGAAACAATGCCTGCGCTGCCACACAGACAGAGTCACAACAGAGTTGTTAGTGCACACAATGATACAATGCTTCACGGTTCCGTTGTAACTCTCTGGTCATTTATATTAATCGATTACAGAGAGCTGGTGCGGAGAGGGTGTCAGAATTATTTTTCTGGTAATGAATAGCCTATTACCCGCCTACATGGTGCACGGCGAGAGGAATAGGTGTGCACTGTGATGATGGGGGGGGGGGGGGGGGGGGGTACGTCAGGGATTCCTATTGATGAACTTTCTCTCTTTTTTTAGGTTCTGAAATTGTACAGTGGATGATCAAGAATCTGGACATTGAAGATCAAGGTACAAGAGGCTGAGCTGTGCTTAGGCAAAGATACTGCATGACATGAAAGGGGGCAAAACAAGCTGGGTAATACACTCTAGTTTGGTGGCTGAGTTGCAGTAATGGACGTGAATTGTGTCAAAAAGTATACGTCTTCTAGTTGTCATAATAGAGATGTGAGAGCGCACCGATTGTATTTAAGTATGTATAGATTTTATGTTAATTACTCTTTCCAATGATATCATAATCTCTTAAACCCATTTTGTAATTAAAATGCAAAAATAGAATAAAATATTATAGCTTCATTTACCTGAGAATCAGCCATAAAATACATTTAGAGACGTTTTAGACGAACAGCTAATTTTGTACCCATTTGATGCCAGTTTGCCAAAATCTAAATAAATATAGGCGTTAAAACAGATCGACCTTTGAATGGTGTGTGAGTCTGTTAATATTTATGATACAATGTGCACAATATGTATCTTATTATTAATTGATGCTCATCTGAAGTTCACAGTTCTGCATTTTTCTCCTTTATGATTCTTATTTTATTATAAAGTAGAGCCAGACAGCAAGTCATTGCTTGAGCCACGTAGAATGACTCAAAAGTGGGCATGTTTTAAAAAATGTAAAGCGGATGCTTCAATTCACAACGTGGAAAACGCGTTCATACTGCACTGCAGGTTTGTGTTTATTTGTGTATAGGAGTGTTTGTGTGTGGGTTTACGTATCACTGTTTGTCTGCTCCTGTGTGTGCCTCAGTATTTATAGTTCAACCAGCTTCTAGTTGTGATACTCTGCTGACTCATCCACTCGCATCCGTTCCTCTGTGTGTTCTTTCATTTGTATGCAAGGATCTGCCTGTCTTTTCCTACATATGTCAATTGTGCGTTTGTATCAGAAAGGTCAGAAAGGCATGCTCTTAATTTATGTGTACGTGTGTGATATTTAAGGATGCAAGGAAGCAGCTCGATCATGACCCAACAATTCAGCATTTTTTTTGCGATTGTTCCTCTGCTGTTGTTCTCTTTCAGTTTCAGTCATTTAAATTTGTCATTTATATTTGTGCTCCTCCCCATGTTTGGGACGGCACTGTGATTAATAATGTATCTGTACCGCTGCACCTCTTATAGGACAAAACAAAAACAAAAGGGGGTAAGCCATAAACAAAAACAGGATGCCTGTCCAAACACTTTTTAATGGCTGGGACAAGACAAACAATGTTAATTTTTCTCCTTTCACGCTTTTAATTTCTTTTTATTGAAATCAGTGCATTCATTTTGCAAACAGACACAAAACAAGCTGCCGTTTGCCCGGCGGTGCTGAACAGAGTGTTGTGCAAAACTAAGTGACTTCAGCAGAGAAACCCTCCCGCCGTGGACGACCACAACAGCAAAGTGAAATGCAATTTATTATGTAAAGGCAGATTAGTTTTTATATCAAAATAGACCGTGGACTGGGAGTTTTTGCTTACCTTGCTTAGCTGTCCTCTTACATGCACTCTTTTCATGGTACTTTTGTTACAATTCAGCCGTTTCATTACAAATCATTGAGCGTCATTGTACTTGTAAATGTAGTTGTGTTATCTGGCCTGGGAGCTAAAGGAACTAAGTGCTTACCGCATTAAGGGCGGCACATGATGGGATGCATTATTGTGGAGATCAGACAGCTTACAAACAGACCAGAAAGCTTGAGAAGCCTAAATGTGAGTGAGGAGCCACACGTATGAATGATACATACTTACAATGTTGTAAACAATATTTCAGTTGTACATCAGGGATCTGCTCTTCTGAAAAAGGTATATGGCTTTTAACACACTGAATGGAAACCAATGTGACTTCCTCTTTCCAGTGATACGAGCATCCCTAATGCATCCTGGATTAAATAAAAAAAGATAATTCACTCACTGTTTGAACCCACATGCAGATGAACTGATGAGGAGGGAGCAGGAAGAGCTCAATGTTGTATTGACAACATTAAAAAGAGTTTAGAAATAGGCAGGAAATGAAACCCGAAAAACATCCATAACGCTAAACAACGGGTAGAACTCAACAGTAGCTGCAATGTAAGATACAATGAACAATGACAAACTTGCAAAAATATGATTGTTTACTAAGGTAATAATCTAATGAGAAGTCAATTTCTAATAGACGTAAATTCAATTTGACCTCTTTTTGGAGTCGCCTCCTGCTGGCCACTTGAAAGAATGCAGGTTTAACGCACTTCCGCATTAGCTTCACTCGTCAGAAACGTTGGGTTTCCCCCTGCCAGCTTTCGTATCGCCCTTAACTCTAAGCAAGGCTCACTTTTTAGATATCCAGAGTTGCATTTGAATTCCTCAAATATTCAGTTTCACTTTAAAATACGTCAAAGTAGAAGCCGCAGAGGCTCTGAATTCAGTTTCACTGGGACGCAAATACTTTTTAGATGTCAGAGAAGTTGTGAAAAACAGTTGATCATTATGCTTTCAACAAATACATACATACATGAGCAAAAGTACATCATTATTTAGATCCCTGTGGGGCGAATAATGGTTGTCAAATTGCAACAATCAATAACACTTCAAATGACTAAACAACACCAGATGAATAAAATTGTAAAATCCACCACAACATCATGTACCTTTGTATTATTAAGAGGGTGAACTGCATATGAAATAGCGCTTAATCCGCTCAGTGGAACAAGAGGAAATGGTAAAATGATCAGCATTTCAGGGTACATGCTGTCCTGTTTAAGCCTCCTCCTCATCCGACTCGAGAGTCGATCTTCTTGAATAGTTTTCAGCCGAACCGTCCTCCATTACAAACGATCTTACTAAAATAAAAAATAATGGATTTATAAAAAAGTGTCAGCATTGGTTGTTTCCCTAATCATGCAGTTGTTCATTTTTTAAATCCTCTTCCTCATCCTCCTCAGCTTATTAAAACCAGTGATGGAACAAGTATTCAAAAACTTCGCGGACGTAAAAGTGCAAATACAAGGATCTAAAAATACTCTTTTAAAGTGATCCCTAGTTTAAGGATCAAAATATTATTTCAGAGGGTAGAAAGAAAACATCTACACATTTCTAATGATATTTTTAGCTCATCTTAAATCATTTCCATGTAAGAAGAAAAGAGATGAAATCATTCTTTGGTGGAACTGCCAACAGCTCAAAGCTTTTCTCTCACAACAGCACATACCTGCACATTGTAAACAACAACATTGTAAATGTTACTACCAAAAACAGAATCCCCTCTTTTGTATTCAGATAACCCTCAACTGGAGGATAATACTCCCACACTCCACTTGGCAGGGCTCCAAACGGCTGGCCGTTTGGCACAGAGCTGGTAATGTGATGAAATCCAACGGTGTTTTCCCCGACCCGTCTTGACAACTTGACTAATTCCAGTCCAAGGTTTAGTCAGCTGTGAAGCTCGTAGAAAACCCTGCAGCATTGAGGCTCCGTTGCCACCAACTGGTCCTTGTAGACACGTGAGCAACCAAAATGTTGGTTGATCTTTTACTCAACACAGTAGTTCGTCTCAGAGGTGGAAGGGGTACAAAAAATTTAACTCAAGTAGATGTACTATCACTTCAAATACACTTTATTTAATAAAACCGTGTGTAAGTGATAACTTACTTAAATGCGTTACATTTGTGCAATACTACTACTACTATATAATACTACTGTTCTATGTACTAATAAGTACATTACCCTGCGACTGAAGTTTCTTTCAAAATTCAAAGTAGAAAAACCCCCACCAAAGTAAAGACCAACGACATGTCAACAATATAAACAACACAAAAAAAGCATTAGCTACAGCGAAGGTGAGACTGCTCAGTCTGCTCACACGCCACTATGTTGCTTGGCGACGTCTTTACCGCAACAAAGTGTTTGTCGACGTTTTCATCCTACAGAGGTCGGCGCCGTGTGCGTCAGGTAACGCAAGCGGTGACCTTGAAAGTCTCGAGCATTGCAAAGTCCTCCACAATTTTCTCCCTGTTCAACTTTTCTCGTCGTTGGTCCTTAGTTTGTTTGTGCTGGAGTTGGCCACGCCCATTTAGCCAGAGGTCACCTCCCTGGAGGCAGAGCTCCGCCCTCCTGCTGCTGCTTTATTACTTTCCATTCTTACACAAATTAATCAAAATTTTTATACCGATATATAGATCTATATTTTTAGAAATATATATATATATATATATATATGACAAAAAAATAAAATGGATATTTCAATAATGAAATGGATGTATTGACAATTGGACGTTGCTTGGAAATGTCTGTCTCCTATAATAACCCATGTGTTTTGTGAAAAGATGGCAGATGACCTACAAAAGCAGACTCCTTGTAGCTCTTTGACATAAAACAGAGAGACTTAATAACACACCAATATAAAATATACAGCAGATTATATACACATATACAAGTGTAATACTATTATTGTAAGAAATAATGTAGTGGAAAAGGAGGAAGGGGTGTGTGTATGAGTAAACAGGTTTAAATAACTTATGATTCATCATTTATTAATTGACACACACACATTCACATCAGCATCCTGACCCCTCAAAGCTGTCACAGGCACCACTGTGCAAAAGGAAAAGCCAATATGTTCATCTCACACAAGCAAACACCCGGTGCGTGGTGGATTTATCGATGTGTGTGTGTGTGTGTGTGTTCTAGAGAGTCAAAGTGCAGAGATGTGAATATTTTATTCATACCAACAGTGAGCTCCCATTAAAGCATTCATAACTCGGCCTATTTAGACTGTGTCAAGCATTTCAGCCCTTATACCTGTTAGCTTATTTTAGCTTAGCTTATTACTGTGTTAAGATCTCAGTTTACAGGCCGACTCCATGCAGTTCTACACCAAACTTAATCAATAATTAATAATTAATCAATAATCCCAGCAGAAATAAAAAAGAAGCACCGCAGTATGAAACACAAAGGACACAACACACACGCATTAGACTGAATATGAATACATGAATACATGTTGACACCATGAAGGGGTTAGAGGTTGAGAACAGCAGGGAGTAACTGGTGGCAGATGAGACACACAGTTGATGATGATTACATGTTTTCATTATCTGATGGTTTTAAATCAGGGAGAGTCAATCATGCGCTGTGGCGCGCCGGAGGGAACCAGGTTTCCACTCCAACCAAGCACAACACCAGGTGATTTGACTGATGAGTTCCGCCCCTCCAGCTGATGGTGGGCTAATCAGCAGGACCTCCTGCTGTGCTGTTTGGTTGGATCGGAGACCTGCCTCTCCTGTCAAAGCAGTGTGAGAGACTAATAAAGGGTTTCTATTCCCATTTGACCGACCTTATCCTTTACTGTCTTTAATTCCCCTGTGCTCATATCCTTTGGCCATTTTATCTGCCTAATTGTCAACAGTTAAATTCCACCTGGGGATGAAGAGCAGCATGCCGGCTTGAGATCTGTGATGAGGAAATTTCTGATTGCAGAACATTGAGAAAATCTTCTTTTGATGATTTTTGAAGGCACTAATCAAAGAGCATTTAGAGATAGATACATAAAAAGTATCACTGTGTCACTCTGACCCTTAAAGTATGGTGTGTTGGAAATCCTGCTGATTTTATTTGAGTTTGTTGATACCATCAATACCAAAAGCTGAAAGCATTGATAACAGGAGATCTTCCTGAACGTTTCAATCAGAGAGTGGAACATCTGCACAGCAGTTAAACGTTTCATTTAAATCCCCAAACATACTTGCACTAGATTGATAGATGTGGTTTTGTGTAAAGTAAATTAAGGCAAAATTGTATCTGCTGGAGTAAAATATTATCTGGAAAAAGGACACAAAGAAAAAGAGCACTTTCAGTTGTAAATTGACTTTATTTCTGTTTCTTCTCAGTGGAATCTCTTCACCTAGGAACTCTGATGGCTGCACATGGTTACTTCTTCCCCATCTCAGATCATGTCCTCACTCTCAAAGATGATGGCACTTTCTATAGGTTTCAGGTAAGAATACTATTAGTATCATTCTGATTCCTATTTGTGTAGATGGATCCTATCAGAGCTATGAAGCTTTATAAACAAAAGGCATTTTAAATGACCGAATAAGAGGAAAGGCTTCACATAGTATCATCTTACTACATGGACTAATCTAATGTGATGTGATATACTGATCAGTTTGAAGGAGATTGCAACGACCAATATATTGTTATGTGTTCCATGTATTTCTCCTAGAATAATGACACTGCCTGCAACATGTTTTGTTTAATTGAATGAATGAACCATAATTACTCTCCATCTACACCACAAGTGATCAGAGGTTGATTTTTTTTACTCGCACTTCTAATGCGACAGATACTCTCTCATTTCAATCTATGCACGATCATTAGTGGGCACAAAAGCTACGATGCTGATGGGTACAGCGGTATGCGAGGTAAGCTCTGGACAGATACAGGGATGCACTCATGCACACTACCGATTACATAATCTCCCGGCGGAGATCAAACAGAAATACGTACTGACATTCTAAAAGGTCCTTCCTTGTTGTAAAGTACAAAACTCCCTTTACACACGACAAATCTCCGACTCCGACTGAAGTCACGATAAATCTTTTAAAGTGCCTCGGGTCAAAGCGGTAATTAGGAGTTAGTGTGCCTCATAATTCTTACAGGTTCATGGGTAAAGAAGTAAAAAACACATCACTCTGACTGCTAATTGTGAAATTGACAGTTTTAGTCATTTAGCAGATTCTGAGCTCCCCCAAGTGTGCAGCTCACAACCAACCGATGTAAATAAAAGCCTCAGGCGACGGGCCTTCACCTCGCCCCCTAAGTTTTATCTGGTTCCACATGATGCCGGTCGAGTCCATACGTCGAGCAGGGTCAGGATTCATGCCTGTCTGCTCCCCGCGCTCGCTGAAAGGAGCTTATGTGCTTTAGACGGAGCGTCGACCCCATTATCAAGCAAAATATTTCATTGTGACAGCTGCAAAGATGGGAATGCCGGCCTGCCCAACTTGGCACACTTTGATTTAAAAAAACAGCCGTTTGCTTTCAAGGACTTGAGGTTTCTCTGAGTCCAGTTTTGTTAATGACCTGTTTTTTCCCCTTTAGACGCCATACTTTTGGCCATCAAACTGCTGGGAGCCAGAAAACACAGACTATGGTGAGAGAGCTGCTCCTTTGTGCATTGTGTGGTACCGAAATCAAACGATTGCACACTGCTCGTGTAGTGCATTTGTCTGGCAGATATGTTATTACTGCTGGTGCTGTCGAAAAGTCAAAAGCTGTAACACAAGCGATGCAACCGCAGTAGGAAAACCGTAGGAAGAAAAACTCACATTTTGTCTTTTGTATGCCTGCCCAGAGTTAAAATGAGTAATAGTAATGCAGTATCTGTGTGCATGGACTGATTGCAGTGAAAGAAAGCAGCAATGTGTTTGAATGTATGCACCTGTTGTGCCCATTTGGCTGAAGGTTTTAATACTGCCACGGAGACAAGCTCTTTCTTTTTATTTTTTACAGATAAGTGGAGATAAACATTTCATAATGCCAAAAATGTTTTGAGCGCGTTGCCGCAGCTTTGCAGGTCTTTTATTTGTTATTTGAGGGCTAATGCTCCCCGCGGGAATAATCCCGTGAGCGTTATGGGTTAGTTAGAGTGTCTCGGACGCAGCGGCCGATTCACATGCGCCTTAATGAAAACACTCTAATGGCGTAATGAAGCTTTTCACATAATGGTCAGTTAAAAAGACACGGAGGGATGACGATGGTGGTACAGGAAGACATCAAATGTGAGGCGCACACACAAACACAGGTACACAAATAAACAACGCTCACTGGGACAGCCGACGAGCTCTGTGATCCGCGGGCCAGTTTAAATGTACAGTGGAGAGGATTAAACGGGTAAACGCTGGGCCACTTTAGCTCGTTAAAATCAAGCCGAGTTCCCGGTCTCTGCAGATCTCACACATTGCTCTGCCTCTCTCCATCTCCCAGCTGTTTACCTCTGCAAAAGAACAATGCAAAACAAAGCCCGTCTGGAGCTGGCAGACTATGAAGCGGTAAGTGAGACAGGTTCTTTAATGCCAGAGTTCCCCTCTTCACATATCTGTGAAGGCTTTATCGCTTGCTTTTTGTTTGTTTGTTTTCTGTCTGCCCCTGAATCATTTGTAACTTTCTTTTCACCAGAGCTATTAAATTAACCAACGGGTTAGTTATCTCTTTTGCACGTGAGCAGGGATCATTAAAAGATGGCTCCCAGCCGTGCGCTGTACACATCATGCTCAGTAAACATAATCAGCCCACATCCCTCAAAACCCTTTTTTACCCCTCGATTGTTCTTTGTTTCACTTGCAGGAGAGCTTAGCAAGGCTACAGAGAGCTTTCGCCAGGAAATGGGAGTTCATTTTTATGCAAGCAGAAGCACAAGCGAAGTAGGTTTCTATAAGAGGCACACATGCATTGAGTGAGTCCTCTTACACCCTCCTTCTGACGTGATTGAATTCAGTGGTTCGCTGCCAGCACACAACTTCGAAGACGAGCTGCACATCAAACACGGGACGGAGAAAATGCACCATGTGTGTGTTGGAAGAAGCTACACGTGCTCTGTAAGAACAGTTCTGAACTCACCTTTTGTTCCTCAGAGTGGATAAGAAAAGAGACAAAATTGAGAGGAAAATTCTGGACAGTCAGGAAAGAGCCTTTTGGGACGTGCACAGACCAGTGGTGAGTGATCGTCACCTTTGCTGTCATCAATATAATTCCTGTCATTATCAGTATCATCTGAAATTTTCAGTCAAAGAGGACAAAATTGGAAAAAAAATGATGTCTCCCCCAGAAACACTCAGGAAAAAGGACATAGTGTAGATAAGAAATATGATTTACGCCCTGCGGGTTGTTGGAATCTATTCAACACGTCTCACCTGCATCGAACTGAGTGAATAACTAAGAAAATAATGTTATTTAGACATCATCTGTAGGTGAATAGAGAAAAGAGGTGAACAAACTGCGAACCCTCCGTCGTCTATTCCTCTGCCATACACATGAAATGCCACATCAATAACTGTCACAACACATCAGCTTCACTGCTGCTCTTTACCTTGTTCATACACACTTGCTTGGCATTAACATTTATTTCCCTCATGAGATTACAGGGTCTCCGCTGCTCTACTTCTCTGAGAGACGCTGCTCCATGCTTAATTGGAAAATAAGTTGAATTTATGCGTCCTTGGAGCGACATAATCAATATTAATTCAAATTTCACAGTGACGGTGTCAAGCTACTTCGTTCCGTCCTTCTGCAAGAGACCTAGATTAGATCACTTGTTCAGTCAGCCAGAGTTTGCACACTATTTCCCGCTGGTTTGCTTGTTTTGCTAGAATTGGCACATTTCATGTTTAATTAACCAGCATCCGACACATTGTTCCGGAGACTTCTGAGGATTCCTTTCACTGCCCTGCTAAGCATATCGGATTTTATTTGCTAAAACTGCTGGCAAAATTGAACCTTTGCCTTTTTGTGTTCTCTTGCCAGAGGGCAAAGAACACACAGCTGAATCCGTAATGATGGAATTTAAGCCGAATTAACAGAATTGAACTGTTCTCACAGCCTGGATGTGTGAACACGACGGAAGTTGACATAAAGAAGTCATCCAGAATGAAAAACCCCCACAAAACCAGAAAGGTACGCCCCCCCCACCCCTGATGACACACCTTTCTGTTGAGGTTGATAACCTTAAAACACATTAACAGACATACTATTACTGACTCTCTTTCTATTTCATTTGTACGTGTCTCCTGTCATCTCAGTCGGTGTATGGGCTGCAGAATGATATTCGTACCCACAGCCCGACCCACACGCCGGCCCCGGAGGCCAAGCAGCCCAGTGAAGAAGAACTGCAAGAACAGGTCTGACCTGCCGGGTGGGGTGTGAGGGGGGGGCATTCTCTTATTGATAATGGGATCTTTAAACATCTGAAGTCAATGCTAGCACTCAAATTGCAAAAAGTACAAAGTACAATGTGCCAACTGCACATACAAAGTAAATTGAAAATGAAAATGTCTTAATGTGATATGAAGCACTCAGCATGGAGCATGCTAATTGTTTCCTGTTGTGGTTTCAGATCACCTACTGGCAATTGCAATTAGACAGACATCGACTGAAAATGTCCAAAGTGGCAGAGAGGTGAGCGATGTTCTTTGTGTGTCTTTATTCAGTTTAGCCATCGATCTGTTTCATTGAGCCTTTAAACAACCGAACATGGCGTTGAACTGAGAGCTCCGGTGACCTTGGGTCCGAACAAGGCCTCGATTTCACTACATTACCTTCCGTTCATTCAAAGATTGCAATCAGACAATTACTCACAAGAAGTTACAGTACGTATATATAGACGACGTTTGCCCACCGGTGATCCCGATTGCTGTCGTTAATTAATATGCATTTGTTTTTTTCCCCCCTCTAAAAATCAAGTTTGCTGGCCTACACAGAGCAGTACATCGAATACGACCCTTTCCTCACGCCTTCGGATCCATCAAACCCCTGGATCTCAGACGACGCCACACTCTGGGAGCTTGAAGCCAGGTGGGTGCATGTCTACATTGATCTCACATGAATGAGTGGACATTGCTTTGTTGCACACGTGCGTCACCCGTTTGCCGCGTGTCCTCCATCAGTAAGGAGCCGGGCCAGCAGAGGGTGAAGAGGTGGGCTTTTGGCATCGACGAGGTTCTGAAAGATCCGGTGGGAAGAGAGCAGTTCCTCAAGTTCCTGGAGTCTGAGTTCAGCTCAGAGAACCTCAGGTACTCTGCAACGCAAAATACTCACGTGATCTTTACTCCCTCGGAGGCTCGTCCCAACCCCCAAGCTTCAATCAATACTGTTGACTAGAAATATGTGTTACAACCAAACGCATAACTAGAGCTTGGCTCACACTCAAATGACAAATGTTCTGATTCAATGTAACATAGTGCCCTGCTTTGCTGTTTTACTCCACATGTGTGCAAATCAATAGTAGTCTATAACAATTCCTCCTATTTTAGAAGACCGGCTTATGTTTAGTACGTATAACTACTAATAAAATAATAAAGCAACCAGTAACGTCAGCTGTAAAACACATGAAGTAAGAAGAACATTTGTCTCTGAAATAAAATGAATAAAGTAGTAGCACGAAGTAGATAAGCTCAGGCAATCTAATATAGTTAATATACTTACAAACGCTGCCTGTCAAATAGCTGGTAAGATAGCAGGATCCAGTCATGTTTTTCGTAATTGGAATTCCGGACCTTCTCTTCAGTGGTAATTGCCACGCGCTAAATCGCAACCCGTACATCTGCCTGAACCTTTGCAAATCGCACCCGCAAACCAAGTCTTAAGCCGAGAATAAACGGTTAACTTTCGTTAACAGCATCTGCGTGAACAGATAGTTGTTGACACACCTCGAATAAAAACAGCACACACATTGATGCACAGGTCAAATGTTCACATTTGCTATATGATCACAACCATAGCGTTCATGCCTATATGATTAGAATAACAACTGAACATTTTCTGTGGTTCTCTCGTCGTAACCGACATTATCAATAATATACACTCAAATGTTTTTTTTGTCATCACAACTGTGTTTGTTGTATTTGTTTTTACTTCAGTGGGATGGTTAGGGACAGCTAGTTGGAGCCGCGTTTGAAAAGAGAATACGCCACAGTAGCTGTGTCAAGAATAAAACGGGTGGGATGGGATGTTATGTTCATTTGCTTTATTCACGGTAACAGGAACACCGCCTTGTATGAAAGGCGCATGTAAACGGCTTAATATGGAAAGAGCAACCGCTGTGCAGCACAGCTCCCCTGCTCCCTCCGATGGTTCACGTCTGTATTGTTTCTGCCCAAAGCTCATAATGTGCTCAGTTTTAATTGAATTGTAATTTAATGTCTCTTGAGCATTATTTTAACTCTCTCATAATTGAACAGATGTATCACTAACCCGAAACATACTGCTACCAGTGGACATATTAACGATAAACCCTACATTTTATAAATTGAACTTGAGCTAATCGTTGCAATGACTCAGCTGAGGTGTCCCTAAGTAAGGAAAAACACATCTACATGGTTTACTATTCTTAATGGCAATGGGTGCTCATCGTTTACTTTGCCCTATTTAGGTTCTGGCTGGCGGTGCAAGAACTAAAGAAGCGGCCCATCAGAGAAGTTCCAACCCGGGTTCAGGAGATCTGGCAGGAGTTTCTGGCGCCCGGAGCGCCGAGCGCCATCAACGTGGACTCCAAGAGCTACGGCAAAACCACCCAGAACGTCAAAGACCCCGGACGCTACGCCTTCGAGGATGCACAGGTTGAGATGCTGCAAACTGCAGCTTAAATCACGCACACAGCTCATTTTAACTTCTGACTGAAATGATCTGAAACTGTATTTTACAACTGTCGCATTTTAACCAATTCAAGTTCACATTACGTGTGTCTGCAACAGGAACACATCTACAAGTTGATGAAGAGTGATTCCTACAGCCGGTTCATCCGCTCCAGTGCCTACCAGGAGTTATTACAGGCCAAGAAGAAGGTGAGAAAAAACGTGACTCAAAACATTGGATGAAAATTGTGAAAGGGCAAAAAGACATAGAGAACTGCATGCAGATATATACAAAGTCCTCAGTGATGCTGAATCCTGTCTTCCTAGCACTCACTCTCCCTCCTTTTCAACGTCTGTGAATTCACATTAAGCCCGTTCGCAGGATCCATTCACACATGTAAATATAGCTGCTGCTGCACTCATCTTTAGGGACACATTCCGCTAGAGGTTTAATTTAATTCTACTCTGTAACACCAATCTTTTTGACTACTAAAAGGCATAATTATAACATAACATAATAAAATAATATTATATCAGAAACCCACCGGTTTGGTGTTTCTGTTCTTTTTATAGAGGATGTTTTATCTCCACTGCTGCTAAACACAAACTGGACTCTATCGACTCTAAAGAGTTGGATGTGAGATTTGCAAGTCCTTAAAATGACGTGCAAATTACATTTATGTACCAACAACATTGCTTAATGCAGGATCAAGGAAATTGTTTGTATGTCTGGAGTTGCTTAAAGATGCAAACCGGGTCAAACAAGTCAAACCAGATGGCACCTGCTCGCCAGCGATACCAATGAGGATCAGACAGAGTGAGTGCCACATATTAAGTGAGTCTGCTGCAGGTCGGCATGCTCAAGCTCGGGTTTAATAAAGAAACCGTTATGAACACCAGAGACTCGGAGGCTGTCAAAAGGTGATGGATAGTTCTGAATTGCACACCACGCAGTGTATGTTCCAAACCTGCTTCGTCTCACGCCTCCCACACTTTTACTGCTCGCCATTCCTCTATGTCAGCTGGGAACGTAGCTTCATAATGACAATGTAAGCATACTATTATTTTACCTTGGACCCTGTGTGTGCTGCTCAGTGAATGAACTCCACTTAACCTGTGCTTGTTTTTGTACTCGCAGAAAAGCAAGAACTTGTTCTGAAGGCCTATGTTTCCAGGTAATGTCCAACACAAGCAAAATCACACTGTACATTGTCAGCGTTTTTATTGCGGTGTTGCCAATTATTGCCGGTTTGTTGTGAGAGCACACTTACAGGTTTTTAGATATGTAGAACATTCAGTTCAAACCTTAAATTGGCAATGAGAATGCATGGCTGCTCGTACTGCGGTTCAACCAGAAAAGACTTATTTATACGTATTTGTTCTCTCTCACTCTCATTTACACATCCACCTCATTCCCCTTTTTCAACGTGCTTGTTTTTCCTCTTCTCCAATCACAGGGGAAACCACGAGCATCCAAGAGGCGGACCCGTCATGTGCCATCATGCTAAAAATCAACGCCATCTCTCTCTGGGACATTGAGAGGGGGATCATCTCATCTCTCCGTCATCATTGTCTGTCCATCTGCTCCAGGCTCAGTCGGGCGATGAGCCGGACCGCCTGTTCGTCTGTTGTCCACCGGATGTTGCATGTCCACGGAGAGGATTTTCCTTCCTCGCTCCTCTTACGGTACCTGATATATTTCCAGTATTCTTAGAAAGGAGTCACTGCCGGACCTGCGAGGACGCTGACAGACTTGCGGGATGACAAATGCCATTGAAGAATTCAAATTCAGTGTTCCAGTTCTTTCTATTGTAACCGCTGGATCAGAGGACCCTCTCTCACTTCCAGCTGAAACAAATGATGTCAGAGAGAAAAAAAAGGAAAAAATACAAAATGACAGCTTAAACTGATTAATCTAACCAATGTCTCTGCTTTACATGATCTGGGCTCACAGATTATTTGTCACACTATGGGATGTGTCGTGCAGAATTAATATACAATATCTATATATATATATGTATATATCTATAGATATACTGTATATATATATTATGATTATTATGATTATTTATTGTGCATTTATTTTGCTTTGCATTATTTTACTGCATTACAATAATTAGCACACATGGTTTTCACTTGTAAAGTCATATTCAAAACTAGAAAATAGCCGTCTCCTGTCTTATGTAGAACATTATTCTTTGTTTGATCTCCTGCATTTATTTTTATACCATATTTAAAAACACCTTTACTCAATTGTATTATTAAAGTTGGCCCTATGTCTGTTACAATTTGCTTGGTTTGGATTTTTTGAAAGTCGTTAAACTAACTTAGTGCAACTTTAGAATGATTTCATTTTGTAGAGTTAGAAGAATCAAGGAAGTCCTTGAATAATGCACTTTGTGTTTTGGCCACTAGAGGGGATCAAATTATTTCCCACTTCAGGAATCTGCGTCCTCTCAGCAACCAGTTCCTCCTCAACAAAGATCACCGAAATGCACCACAGTACAGTGCTGACAAATAAAGTCTTGTCATGCGAGTGTCCTCATCCTCCAGTCTGATGAAGCGGTGTCGTTCAGACTGCACCCACGTGAGGTTTCGCAGGGCCTGTTGATGTTTCAGCTCTTTGATGGCAGAAGTCACACACATTATGTTTCAGTCTCTGTGCCCAGTGGTCCGCTTAGCAAGAGCCACAAAACAGACAAACATTATTGTCTCAGGAATTTGAATTGTGGCATTTTTTTCTCAAAGTATTGCGTTACTCTGCTGGGGTACATACATACAATGGTTTATGGATTGGGGATTATGGCGTTATAATGCGGTTACATTGCCAATGAGCAAGGATAATTTATGGGTACTGATATTTCTTCACAATATTGCCCAAGGTGGAAAAATGTCATTTTGTCCTAAAAAAATGTAACTCTATAAATCAAACACAGCGGAATGAGTAAATACAACTTACAATGGGGAAAGAAAACAAGACAATGAAAAAGCTTTCATTGTAAAAGTTTCATATATCACTGATGGATGGATTACAGAAAAAATCTCAAAGACAAAAATCACTAGGCAGACAGAGAGAGACAGACGCAAGGAAGCTTTAAATGAAAGAAAGCTCAGTCTGATTCCCACAATGACCAATAGGATAAACCCTCCCAGTTTTCAGGGAAGGGGGTGGTGGGGATTCAAACCAAGGCAGGTTTTACAGTGAGTCAAACACTTTCAGAGACAGACTACAGACAGTCTCTGCAGCACTAAGATATGGGCTTTCTGTGGAGGAGATCCGGACATTCTTTCTAAAGAATACAGTTAAAAAGCCTAGAAAGAGACAGTTAGACCGAGAAGGTTAGAAAGAGAGACAATTTGTCCAGGAAGATGGAGAACTGATCGAGTCCACAATTAAAAAAAACAACAACTTTATTTGGCAGAGGAAGAAAGGAGCCAGGACAAGCCTCGGGATACCACAGATTATGTTGCCATGGAAACCTGGAAGCGGACGCAAGGACCACTGAAGGTGGACATCTTCCCTTGACTTGTATCCTCGACAAGTTACTGTAGCGACCGTGTGGTGAGAGGTACATAACCCGTACTTTATGCTTCCCTGCTAACAACCTATTCAGCTCTCTAACACTTCATCTAAGAGTCAAAGAGCTCTTTCAACAACGTTACCAGTAGCAAGAACTGTCTGAGGGTATTTGCAAATGTCAATTATCATAAAATACAGAATGCGCTATTTACTAATGAGAAATTACATTTAAACGGCTGAATCTATATATATATATATATATATATATATATATATATATATATATATATATATATATATATAAATATATATATATATATAATGCTGCATATGTGTTTATACAGTGACTTCTTTAGCCACATACACCATTCGGATCTACTGAGAAAGGTCTAGATAAGTGAGCCCTGGTTCAATATGTCACACCTGAAGGCTTGGAGGAAGCGGGCAGTAAGAGACGGACGGATATAGTGAGCCTGAATGACTCAGGGGGTCTCTGAATGACTAAGCAGCGGACCGTGTAATCCGACCAGCGGTGAGTAGTATTTCTGCCAGCAGCGAGGATTTGATTCCCACTGGGCCACCCATTGTAATAAAACGCACGCCTTCGAGGTACTGTAAGGTGTTGTGGACAAAAGTGTTGACTAAATGACTATAATCAGTGGCTGGAGGTTCCAGGGAATTAGTGTTGCGAGTGAGAGAATTAGTGAGTGATGACAGTGTGCCGTACTTAGCACCGCAGAGCGATTAAGACTATAGTTTTTACGGTGAATACAAAAATAGGAGAATAGAGATATAGGCCTACTGATGTTACTGTACACAGTAAACTTGTCTTTTGTGTAATCTTTATTATTTTTCTCTTTGTGTGTTTATTCTGCATTTTTTTAATCATTTGCTTGTGCGTGCTGTGAATGGAAGGAGTTTCCCTCCTGATCCTTCTTACAGCTCCGGTGACTGCACCACCACGTACAGTCCGCTCTGATGTCAAAGAGGATTTGCCACACGGACACATTACACTTTCTTTAGCAGCAGAAAACACTTCATTGTAAGCCTCTGAAGATGGCTAAACTGGTGTTTGATGGAAGTCTTAATTGACACATGAAGTTTACACTGAGGAAAGCGTCTCAAAAAGCGTATGCTGCATTTTGCTAGTGTTTTTTTTTAATGGAGCATGGAGTATTATTAAACCCCTTAATAGGCCGCTGTCGGCTGGTACACCAGCCATAGCAATCTCATGCTGCGCAACTAAACACAGAACAAGAACTTTAAATTGAATGGCAAAGCCATAAAAAAATAGTATAGCTTTAAACGACCCGGAAAAGCTAGCAAAGAATATGTCACATAGCGTGACATAGCCTACGGCCATTTTTGAAACCTTTACGATGCTAAATACGAGACTGTTATTTGTTTTACTTATTTATTATGTTCAAAGAGGATCTTTGATAACACGGCACCAACCGAAGCGGCTGTGCAGTGGCTGCTTGCTCCAGAGCCGAGCCGGAGTAGCGGAAAAACAGGGCCTACCCTCAGGTTAGCCCTGCTAGCTTGCACGCTGAAAGCCGCGTGGAGGCACTAGATATGCCCAAAATGTAGAATTGAGCACATTTACAGGTTCTTCAGTAAAAAAGACGACGGAGCAGAGTACTTGAAGGTGTTTAAACAAACTTTAAGTGCGGATGGGAGGTGGTGTTAATCGCTGCGGCTAAGTAGTGTCATCCTGATATAAAAATGTGGAACCCTATAATATCGTAGCATCTCTAATTGCCTCTCATCCTCGACTAAAGCACTTAATGTTGCAGAGGGAAGGAAGGAGCTGCACTACATTCTTGCCAGTACTTGGAAAGCATTATATATGGGCTGCTAGTCATTATCAAGATGGATTGTGGTGACAAACGGCAGCCCAAACGGCCTAAAGCAGCCTCCTGGCAATATTGGCATTAGAAACATTTACAGAGAAAAAGCCCCTAAATGGACCCCTGCCTCCCCCTCAACTGTTAATGAGCCAACAGCCGAGCGTCTTTTGGGAAAATAGAATCCGCAAATGCAGATAATGACATGGTTCCTCTTTGTAATTGGCTCCAAGTGAAAACATTTCATTTACCTCTCTTTGCCTCTTTATATCCTGTGTATGGGTGTTTGAGTTCTGTCTGCGTGTGTGTGTGTGTGCGTGCAACCGTGTGGTCACGTAGCCTGTGTGTTAGTGTGTGCGTGTGTTCAGCTACCCTTGTGTGATTGAGGTTTGAGCTGCACGGTGAATTAAATGCAGTTCTACTGTAATTAACTGCACTTACCAGTCTGTGTATGAGACTTTCTGACGCACCAATAATTGAGGCATCAGGTTTTGTTTGTTTTAACCTGCCTTTGAAGACATGCCGGGAAGATGTTTCACATGGTTTAGAGGAAGTACATCTGTGTGCACACATTTTAAAGTATTCAATGGATTATTGTTTCTTTCTTCAATCGTTTGAGAAGTAAACATGTGAAGCATCGAAATATGTTACATCCAGACTTGAAATGTTCTCGTCTAATATTGTCTTTCTTTGACTCTCGGAAAAAGACAGAACCACTGTTTTCCAGTTTCCAGAGAACATTACCATGTCATTATAATTCCATTCTGAAAAACAACACATAACAAGTTCCCACTGATGATAATAGTTGTTTTTAAAAAGCCCTGTATCTCGCTCAGCAGTCTCTCTGGTATTTGTTTCTGGTATTTGTAATTTCATTAGAGGTCTGAACGTTGGAACGAAGCTCAGCCACAGTTCAGTGAAACATATCCCGCAAGTATTTGTGGTTCTTCTCAAACATAAAGCTGTGTTTGGGGACAATATCACTGTTCAACAGACATAAAGATGCACACAATCACAGCCTTCTGTCACAGGGACATTGTGGTGATTTGTCCTGTGCACTGACAGATGGACGGACAGGGAGGGATGGATGCGAAGGGAAATAAATAGACCGACAGCTTGTGGAGCGATAAACAGTTGCATGAGGGGGCTGTATACTGTGCATAAAGCCCAGGTTGTGTTGGTTTTCTGTCCCAAACCCTACCATCTCTTCAGCCCCTTCCCTTTTATCTGCAAACCCAAACCACTAAACACCTCAGGGTCCCCCCCCTCCTCCCCCAAAGCCCATGAATCCCAAACCCCAAAAACCACAATTTGTCTCGCATCACAGATTGATTGGGATAGCTTAGCTTAGATATCACACTTAGTTTAGGAGTGGAGAGGGAGCTCTGCGGCTGGCTGCATAGGCCATCTGTCAAGCCCCTGTGTACACAGTCGGTCGGGTCATCCTTCAAAAAGACCCCGGGGCCTTTGCAGACTGTAGCTCACCGGAGCCAAAGGGTGCCTCTTTAAACCATGGCGACAGCGGGGAGAACAGGGAAACGGGGGGAACAAGAGGCTGCACGCAGAGTCTGAGCCTGTTCATGCATTTATATACAGTCAGCAGGAATGACAAGCGGCAGCTAACAAATGAGACCGTGTTAAACACGGAAGGCAGATCACTGGAAGATGGAGTGGGGGGGTCGTCACTCCCTGATGCAGCAGTTGGCGAAGGACGCAGTGAGATTCTTTGTTTTAGGTATTCTCACCATAGTTCGGGCGTGCGAGGGCGTGTGTGCTAGTTTGTGTGTGCATGTAAAAACGCGCGCTTACAAATATCTGAGCTGCAGTTTCCGTCTTGATTTAGATGATTTGGCAATTTAAAACCACATATGCAGCGATAGAGACTCTGGCTCCATCGTTGCGTCCCGCATCCAGCTGCTAGCAGCAACTAGGCAAGCCGACAAAAGTCAGATGTCCAACACCTGTCCAACTCCAACATATACAATAGATTCATATCTATATCTATATATAGATATAAATATATATATATATATTTATATATACACAGTACATCCTGAAATCTGGTTAGAATTGAAACCACATTTCTGCAGCTGTAGTCAAGCTTACGTTAGCTGCTGCCGGGATATAAGATATAAGCAATATACTGACTTAAGTGCTGCTGCAGCCCAGACAGAGCTGACATGACCACAAGGTCAAGCCTAGAAAAAAGGAGGCAAGAAAATACGTCGATTATGATACAGTAATTTGGAATTTTGTCACTTTAATCAGTGTCAGAGTGAGTTGCAGGTCCAGGAATGGGAACATACAAAGGTGTACAGCACAGAAGATACTGTGAAAAGGGTAAAATGTCCTTGAGACAATTTGGTTCACGGTCAGAATTTCTGACTCGATGTCATGCGACGCTTGTCACGAGCAACATCTGCTGAAAAGATGCTTGACTTGACGGTCAAAAATGTGCTGGCGCAAATTCTGACAGCATGCACAACGACAAATAAAAAATCCATCCGGAATGGTAGAGAAGCCATTTATCCAAAGTATATCCTCCATCGTTTTACATTATGGTGATTACGGCCACTCCGGGTCATTCTCAGTTCAGTTCGCTACATAGTACATCACCAAAGGATAGAGGAGTGGACTCCCAACGGGTATCCGTTAGAGTTCCCCAACTCTTCCCCTAATAACATGCAGATGGGCCTCACTAATGCCTGTTTACATATCTGCAGCATAGTTCATGACTAAAGTAAGCAAAGCCCTAATTATTTTACCCGGCGACGAGACCAATAAAATCAACTTCCCCTTCTCATAATGGGTGTTTAAGTGTATCCTTTGATGACAGGACCCTGTTTATTTTTGGAAGAGTTGCGTAGCCGAGAGGAAAGCAAATAGAGGTAATGACAGAGAGATGTTGACAAATGGGGGACCTGGTGATGGATTAATTTCCTCAATGATGCCTTGAAGGCTGGAGTGCAAAGGTGGTTTAACACAAATACAGATTCACACTATTGCGAACATGATTGGAGATACTGATACCATGTTTGCAATCGCAAGAGTATCACGTACCATCACATTGGCCCCGAATTAGTTACACCAGCTTTAGTGTCAATCCATTTTCAAAAAATGTAATACCTAGTAACGCGCCTCTCACTTTTCCCAGAATGCTGTGGAGAATAACCATCCCAGTCATACTGGCCGGGGTGCTCTGCATCACCGCAGAGAACAAAAAGCACCGGCTCCAGGGATCCATCCCGTCCCCGCACAAGACCAAAGGGAACCTGTCCTCAGTGCGTCACCACCGGCTACTGCAGCAGAAACCAGCGGTGCTGTCTTCCAGCCGGGAGGCCTTGGTGGTGACGGAGCGGCGCTACCTTCGCAGGGACTGGTGCAAGACCCAACCCCTGCGTCAGACAATCAGCGAGGAGGGCTGCCGCAGTCGCACCGTGGTCAACCGTTTTTGCTACGGCCAGTGCAACTCCTTCTATATTCCCCGGCACATGGGCCCCAACTCGGGTGAGGGCCAGAACCGAGGTCAAGCCGTGGGCTCCGGAAGGAAGAGCCACAACAAGGCGCAGGAGCCGTTCCAGTCCTGCTCCTTCTGCAGGCCGCACCGCGTCACCCAGCTCACCGTGCAGCTGGACTGCCCGGACCTGCAGCCCCCTTTCAGGCACCGTAAGGTGCAGAGGGTCAAACAGTGCCGCTGCATGTCTGTGGACGTGAGCGGCCAGGGGAAGCTGTGAGGGAGGACTAAGACGGCCCTTTTCAAAGTGAAAGGACGCACGATCCGCCAAAGGCGGAAATTCACAAAGTTCGCTAATCAAGGATTGGCTCTGCAGTTGACTTTTCTGCATTGTGTTGAAACGATGAAATGATAAGAAACACAGAACTGGTATTACTAAACAAAGGCTCAACGATGATTTAATCAGAGACTATCATGCTGCTGAAAGAGACTGATTAAAGTGTCCTCACAAGAGACACGGGTGAGGATGTTTTCCCTCCCTGTTATTTGAAGATCATATCTACATGATTTCTACATTTGTCATTTGATTCCTTTGTGATGAAGTGCCTCGGAGTTTTAAAACTACAAAACAAAGTGTACTGCTGATAATGCAGCCTTTTAAAGCAATTTTCAATTGTGTGACCCCTATTAATGTAACATGACATGCAGGTGGATGTACAGTATTTACCGCAATATTTTAACCTGCAGGACATGTAGATGGTGTTTTACAAGTGTTATTGGTTTAATTACCCTGCATCTTCATTTGTACTTCTATAATGTTCCAAATGATACACAAGCTGCGAAAAAAAAACGATTTCGAGAAGCATAAAGCAAGACAGCAATGACCAGTGGCATCCGCCTGCTTGGACACGAGCCTGTATACTGTACGTTTGCCACAAATATATTAGCCAGTAGGAAAAACATACTGCAGCATGTGTAATGGAGGTAGAATGCAATTTATACAGTATTTAGTAAGTACCAGTCAATAGTATAGACACATTTTCTTATCCGATTCAATGAGAAAGTGTGTCCAAACTTTTGACTGGTTCAGTTATACTGTGTATATATATATATATATATATATATGTACATACATATATATTTTATGTATGTGTGCATATTTTAAGTATATATGTGAAAAGTGTATTAAATCTATTTCATACAAAACAGTGGTGTTTGGAGTGCATGAAGTTCTGTGCCACTTTCACGAACGGACAAACGATAAACAGAACAATTTCAGCAACAGCAGATTTTTTTAAATTTAAAAAGTGTATGTCATTTATTTTATTCAATAAATATATTTTTTTATGACAAAGGTATTCAATCACAACACACTGTTGGTACTGCACATCACATAACATGGTCCTATTGCCTCGTTTGCATATTGGAGTTCACACACACACACACACACATACACAAACAGATACACACTGCATTGTTTTTTTTGCCTCACATTAAGTATTTTGACGACACTGCTGAGTAAAACATTTTAGGTCTGTATCAGGTCACACCAATAGGTACGCACGGCCTTTTTGGATGAAAAGAATGTCACTGTAATATAGGAGCTGCTACAGTCATCACAAGGTTCTAAAGCCAACTACTACGAATCTCAAAGTTGTCATATGTAAAACAGATTTCTCTTAACATTTAACATTTATTTTCAGGTGATACATCTACAAAAGTAAGAATTCGATCCACAGCACTGTTTTGACCCCTCCACTGCGCGATAAGGCACTTTCAGTCTGGCAAGTGATCCATGCCGACTGTGTAGAAATGTGCTGTTCACCATTAACGGAGGTATAAAGAGGAAGTGCTCATTTCTTTCTATAAAATAGGCTTTGGAATTGCACTAAAAGAAAACAGGCTACATATGGCTTGTAAAAAGTATTTTCTAGCATTTAATACTCTAAGGATCGCTTTTAGTGGCAACATTTCATTTAATTATGCAAGTGCTATGAAAGGTAGCGGAGGAGTTAATTCCTCATTCCACTTTTTAACAATAAAATGACCACATTGAACAAGCTCACAATAAACAACAGGTCTAAATCGATTGAAAACAAACACCAGAAGCAGATAAACGCTGTTAAAATGAATAAGGTCAGATTGTGCAGACAGTGCTTGAGCAATAGGCTGGGTGATGATCATTTTCCATTCTCGGCTTCAGATCTTCTGACCCAGTTTGGCTTTCTGTAGAATAAAAAACAGACGAGAGTTATTAGCAGCCGGCAGCTGTGGCACTCATGAGTGTTGTTTCTTCAACACCCTGTCAAGTGTTTGGAAGGAGAAGACAATTTACACCAATTGAAAAGAAAGAAGAAAAAAAAAAGATGGCGGCACTACCTGAGCGTCATCAACAAACTGCAGGACAGCGGAACCATAACTGTGGTAATAAGTGCAAAGAACGTACGATTCCAGTTGCATGTTTTGGTTTCACATTGTAGGACGCCTTCTCCTTGGCCTGTTTGAAGCACTCTTCAGCCAATTTGACCCTAAAGAGACACCAATAATAACCGTCAGTTAACCTATGAAGACATCAAATGCACAAAAGAACCGGACACATTCATTTAAACTGATGCAGTAGAAGAAAAACCCAGCTCGGCTCATCCGGACTATACAGTCATCGAGGTATTTTGTAAATTCGGCATATGTGGACTCAACGATCTTTGTTTGTCAAAGTGCCAGCGCTTTTACTTTGAAATGACTCACTCGCATAGTTTAGCCGGCAGCGTCTCTACTCATTGGTGCTTTAAAAAGACAAATTATCAGCATGTTTTCATTGAGTGAGGCACAAACTATACAAAGAGACATGCATCTTGCTCACTCATTACTTGGGTACTGTGTGTGCCAGAGTTGCATGTCCAAACAGGTAAGGATTAATATCTGAGGTTCAACAGCAAAAACCTGCAGAGAGAGTTGCCGCTAGCAAAGGGCAAAGAGTTTTTTTGTCTTTCTACTGAATAAGCAAAGCTTGTGACATTTTGCTCCTCTTACAAATACATATCCCAAATTCAATCTTCATTTGGCATAATGGACCAATTTGCTTTTTGTTGACATATGCAGCAGTATCTTTATATTCATCAAACCACTGGAAGCTATCTGGATGCTGCATGTGTTCTTTTCATTACTGGGGTGAGGACAAAGATTCGGGTCATTTAAGCTCTTTTCCCTTCATGAATTTGAATGAATCTGATAGGATCTTCAGTGAACACAATGTACTGCGAGTTATTATTGGTTGAGGTACTTTTGCATATGGAAGGAACATTGGTGCGTCTGTAATGGTCTTTCAAAATAAGAATGAAGTGACTGAAAAGCCTTGAGCAGCGTTTGATTCGACGACAATCGGTCCAACGGTTCGGCCAGTATCCGAATCAAGTACAATGTCACATTCGGGAAAATGGAAAATGCCATCAGATTCTCACCGTTCCTGTAACATCAGCTTATTCTGCTTCTTCCACTGGTCTTTGAAATCAGTGGAAAACTCGTGCCAAATGGAGAAGAAGGTGTTGGGAGAGACCTCCTTCTCTCCTGCTTTGGGTTTGACAGAGAACGACACGCTCAACTCCAGGAAGCTGAGGACCAGGAAGAAAAACGTTACTTCAAGACTGAACTCTTTACACCGTGAAACCAGAAGCACAGAATCGCACACCAACTCTTGTGAAACTCATGCTAAGCAAATATGCAAAATCTGAAAGTTAATCTTTTTCTAAGATTTAATATTAAAACCGAAACCAATAATTCCTGTGCATCTCAGAGGAGAACAATGAAGAATTACTCCCACTGAAGTTGTTTCTGTTCTGGTGGATTCAATTCCAGGACTAAAATAACACCCATGCATCTCATAAAGTGCCTTGTGCCTCATTCGAACCGGTGTGGAGAAGCTTCTCTGCCAGTGTGTGTACACGGAAACGGCACATACTGTTCCTAAGCACGGGCGAGGAACGAGAGGAAGGAAAGAAAACAGCGATCAGCGAGGAGACGAAGGCACGTTTGGCAGAAGGAAGGCGTGCAGATGCCGGAGGATGACACGCGTCCAAGTGTTAGACGCGGAGACCGTTTGCAGTGGATCAATACGGAGGACAGGTTGGGGTGTCTTTGTTTGGAGTGTGCTATAGGAACACATTCCTAGCCAGCGGTAACAGAAGCCTGGAGCCAAGGCTGTCTCCTCTCGCTCCGCTTAGATAAACAACACGGACACCGCGCGCGGGGCCTCCCGTCTACTGAGGGCCCTTCCATGCTAACCAACCAGAGGCCCTAAATGTTGACAAAGAGGTATTATTATAGAATAGAATGGATCAATTCAAACCGGATTGGATTTCAACTGTGATTGCCGTTCCGTCACTTTGGAAGAGATTAAATGGAAAAAACCCGCGAATAGGAAGCGAAGCGACTGCATTTATTTTGCAGGTGAAGAAGCTATAGGAAAATGTTTGATGAAATAAAAGAAGAAAGAAGATCTTACATCTTATGAGTGTCTGCCAGCTGCTTCTCTTGTGTTTCCAGTTCGGTCGTGGCTGTAAAAGGCGACATGTTTTAAATAAGAGCAGTGCAGGAGTAAATACAGGATTAGATCAGGATTAGGACCCATTCAGGACTTCCTGTTCAATCAGAAAGCACATCCTTCACCCACGATGCAACTTGTATACAGGAGGATTCCACATGTCGCCATTACTTAAATCAACAGTCATCTCCAAGGTCAGCGCTGTGCCACCAGGTTATTAAGTGTTGGATTGTCTGCTGTTGCACAACTGACAAATGAGAGCTGCAGTTTGCAGGACAAGTGCTCCTTTGTGCACGGTTACTTCCAAAGGAGACAGATGACCCTTCATGTGTGTGTGGGTAAGAGGTGTAATTGAGCAAAAGAGAGAAAGCTGTGAGTTGGACTACACGGTACACATTAGCACATATTTCCAGCAGGCCACAACATTTATCTCTGTGGTCCATCAGGATCATTTTGACTACATTATAAATGAGGATGTAAGACAACAGCAGTGAAATGTGACAGCTTCAGTCAAGGAAAGGCCGGAGGATATTACTTATCACATTTCAGACCCATGCTGATTGTTTAATACATCACAGTAGAGTCAACCCAGCTGTTTTATTTATTTTTTTATTTTGCTAGTCTTTATCTTACAGTTAAAGATAGACACTCACTTCCCTCCCACACAAATTTTCCATCCTCCCCATGGCATCAATTATCTTTAAACTGATGGTGCCTTTAGACTGTCAAACGATCAGAAATAACCTACGGCCTCCTCATTGACTCTCATAGACAGATATGACAGTAGATGGGACAGAGAATTTGTCCTGGCACAAATATGTGTTCTGCTCTTATCCCCGAAATATATCTGGTTGCTGCGTTTAATTGAATCCAGAGCCACATCTAAGGCCCCCAGACAAACCCTTTGAGCCCGGCGCTGTGCTTCACCATTCCACAGTCCCGAATGACTCCGTAACCCCCGATCGGATCTCTCTCTGCTGACGGCTCATCGACAAACGATGACAAATTGACAAATAATATGAACGGGGGCTTCCTGAAAGCATCGCAATACCAGAACCGCGCTCTGTCCTTTGAGGAAAACCGTTTAAGAGTCTACTAAAACTCTGAGCTGGAAGAATCCTTGACGAGTGACCGGAATATCAAGGAAGATAGATATTGATATTGATTGATATAGATATTGTCCAATAATTATTTAGTAGAAATTCAATTTGATGAATTGCTTTCTTATCTACTAAGAAAATGTGGCAGTAGTGGATAAAGAATTCATATATTTACTTAAATAAAACACTAAACTGCAGAATATTCAAACTTAATGAAGTAATCAGCACTGCTATCCTATTATAAAGCGTATTTTGTATTACTAATCCGAATGTAAATCAAGTAGTAAGTAAAAGTTATACTAATGTAGCGGTGTTAAAAGTATAATGTAGCAGAAAATGAAAATTTGGAACATCATTGTGTAAACATTTCTAAAATAACTTTTCAGCATATTATAATTTTGATACTTCATGGATGGTTGTTTTCAGGAAAAAACATAAATGATTCCATTAACCTGTAATTAAATTCAAACATCATTCTAATTGGGACTGTGATTCCAGTGACGTCATATAGCTGCAATTCTATGAGAATAACGCAGGCGCTTTCTTTGCCAAATCAAGAATGTGAGGTGATCTAAAATATCTGGGTCTGAGATAGTGGAGAATTAAGAATTAACAATGTGATTTGATCTAAAATATCTGGGTCTGAGATAGTGGAGAATTAAGAATTAACAACGTGATGTGATCTATAATATCTGGGTCTGAGTGGAGATGGTGGGAAAATGTTATTTTATATATTTTTCTAATATTATTTTTAAATATCTTTTCTGTTATCGTTTCATGTGGTTGGACAAGATACAGATACAAGATAATGAGAATCTAATATCCAACTTAATGCTGCATATCAATGTCCACACGCCCATCACGAGGTGATACGCAGCAGAGTTGTAGTCAGTAGTTAAGGAGTGTCTAAAACGAGTCTTACTACACTTTTTGTCCGTCAGAAATAGATTATCACGTGGCCGGTGCTCTCTTGCTAGTCACGGTGACTCCATCAAAGGCCTGTATGCATGAGAATTTGTGAAGCGAGCGCGGAAAATCGAGCTAGACCAAACAGCCGAGCTCCAACAAGTCCGCTCCCACTGTTATTCTGTGGCTGGTTTCATGGTCAGAAAATAAACAAACGCGGTTTAAACTGTGGAGCCAGAAACCGTTTAACCCCGGGCTTTTTAGAAATGACAGAAAAAACAAAAAACAAGACGTTTGGCTGTTGTTCTCTTTTCGCCGCCGCAGTGGAGGAACCCCAAGAATCTGGTCTGGAGCCTTTTTCCCGAGTCACATGTCCACGGTGCGTTGCTTACACTCCGCTCTCGGAGGATAAACCTCGTCGTTTGCATCAAAGAGAGAGGGGCTCCCACGTTTCTCTCAGACGCACAGAGGAAAGAAAAGGGGTTGGAAATGGGGGAGAGACGCTTTCATCTGCAGACTTCCTTCCAAAAATGGACAGTGAGCATTACCGCGGGAAGGACATATGCTCCATATTACAGCCTCATCTGAATGCAAAAAGCAGCTTGGAGAGAAGGGCCGAGAGCCGGAGTCCTTCACATAGATTGGTCACAGACAACTGAACGTAGGGAAGGTCAAAGCCAATGCCGCATAAAGAGTGACTTGTTATGTTAAAACAAGCATAACAAACTCAGCGGTACACCTTTGAAGCAGACCACAAAATCCCGATATCGTCGGAGATGTCAGATTATGGAGGAGAAAAAAACAAAAAACAGCATGTCTGTGTGACATCTGGTGGACATGGCGGATAACAACGACTACATTTTCACCAGCTTTAATTGGAAACGTTTTAAGAGCCAAGATAGAACACTTAGTCTGCTTTAGATCTTAAAATGCTTTTTGGTGGTAATTGTGGTCAGTGTGTCACCCTCCTTGGTCAAGAAGGAAATATCTCAGCACAGGATGGATTGCCAGGAAATGGGTCCATGTTGGGCAGAAGATGGATCCTGTCTGAGTGCAAGTTTTCTGAAAATATTCCAGTTCCCCTCGGGATGCACATGACGACCCTCTGATTTATAATTAGTCCAATGCAGTGGCTTATGACCAAATATAAGATGTTGCCACTGAGACATCACCAATAGATTTGCGCACTGCCGCTTTAAAGCCTCAAGTTCAACATTTTGACCATCTTGGTATTTTGCAACCAGAAGTGACATCAGACGGTACAACAAAGTTACACGTTTTCTGAGGCACACAGTTGAAATTAACTTTCAAGAACAGAAGACTAAAGCACGGACAACTCACACACCAGATAACACAGCGGTGCTTGAGTCACACGCCCATATTGTCAACTTTTCTCTAAACGGGACCATCAATTTACTTGTAGACTTCTCTACAATCTGGCTTGATTTTGTTTAACTGATTTCCTAATCGGACTGAAGGAGTGATGGATGGAGAGAAGAGTTTATGTAGGCAACGGAGGGCTTCTAATTTCCACTGATGCAATAAAAAGAAACAACTTATTGGTACAGAAAAGTGAAATAAGAGACAGAAACTAAAGAAAACTCTTCAACAGCAGAATAAAGGATAAATAATCACTATAACATATTATGACATCAAAAGTACGTGAAGGGATCAAAATCAAGTCGGTTTTATTGAAATCACTCAGATGTCCAGCTAAGTTCTCTGCAGTTAATATAACAGACTGCAATACTGGTTCATCTTAGGCCATCCTGAATTTCACTTTGAGGCAGAGCAACGTATCATTTTTTATCAAATAAAGGTAGAGATTTGAGTCAAGACACTCGGAAATAAACAGCCGTCCCTTTACAGCTATTTCTTTTTATTTCATCCACATATTCGTGAACCAGAGAGTATAAATAACACAAATAAACACAGCGGTTAAGCAAATGGGGAGGTTGATGAGGAAAAACATAAAACTGTCTTGCCTCATCAAAATGCTTTTATGAACTGTCAAACAAGTCCGATATATTTTTCATGTAACCATCATGCACCTATGGTGCAACTTCCGTGGTTATTCTAACCTAAATCCCAATCATATCTACACCTAAACAAGTACTTTTGTTTCCTAAACCTGACCAAGTTGTTTGTTGTGAAGACGGAAGGTTATAAAAGGGAACTTTGGTGCCCATGTTCATGGCAGTGAAGGAGAAGCACTTAACGTAACGGTGTGGTTTACTGATGTTCTGTCAATAGTTTTAGTACAGCAATGGAGATTCATGGCCCAGATCAGTTATATAAATCTGGTTTGGCTACACAGACTGCACTTGTTTTGATTTGCACTTTTCATGGGAATTATTTGATATAAACATAAAATCCTTCAATGAGATGAAAGGGTTATCAATCATCAGCTTCATTGGATTTAAAAAACAGGCTCACCTTGGCCAAGAAATTCCTCCATCTTGCCCTTAAAGGGTTGCAGAATGTCTTCAGAGGAAAACTTGCAAACGTTCTCCGTCTGAGCTGAGCATGCTGAAACAAGAGATGATCACAATGAGAGGCCAGCATAATCTTTCAGCGCATCAATACGTTATCCAGCTTTTGTTTTTGTAATTGCAAACTCCAAGAATCTATAAATCTCTACCGAGTTTCTGCTGAATAAGTGTAAGACATAACGACCCATAATGACTAATAAGGCACCCCCAGGAACCAGGATCCCAGGAGAAACGTATCGCCACGCTCTATCTGCAATCATAACGGATACACAAACTCCGCTCAAGTGCCTTGGAGGTGGAGAGGCCATGAGGCCCTTCGGGGAACGGGGAGGTCGGAACTGGGGTAGTGGTAATTCATAGACCATATGGGGCCTCGACCGAAAAAAGGTACGCAGCGGGTTCCCTCCGCTGATGTCCTCCGGCCCGGCCGAGGCCATTTTTGCAACCGCCTACTTATCGGAAACCCCTCTCTGGGAACGGTCATCAAAGCCCACGTCTGTTAGAGCGCTCTGCTGGCTCTGCTTGGCAGTGAAGGGGTCTGCAGGTACAGCACGTGATGAGATATTCATGTACGGTCAGCATGTGCCACTGCCACCGGGGGTCACAGCAGACGCAAGTCCGTTTCCCCCTGCAAGCAACTCGAACAATGAGCAGCCTAAAGAATCATTATGGCGGAATATATGGCAAGACAGATCAGACACTTGATTGTTTTAGCAGCAAAGATCCACAAAGTAGGATACTAGAACCGAGCTGGTTTGGGAAATCTAGCTTCAAGCTCACATGTACATGTAAATACTCATGTGCCTGCGTACGGATACACAGTCAGTTTTTTTTTACCACCTCTAGGCAATTCAGTCCTTGGAAAGGATTGTGAGTGCTGAGTTACTTGAGACAGGGTAATGAAGGGAAGTATTTCCCAACTGCCTCATTCATTAGGACTCTACAGTCAACCAATCAGTTCCACAAGCACAATCCAATTCCCACAGTTATTTCTGACGTCTTGATAACTCATTCTTTTCATAAGGTTCTTTTATATGTTTACTTTTATAATATATAGCGTATTTGTTATAAATACAGTATGTAATACGCCAGAATCCAACACATGATGTCCTTGCATAAAGCATTGCTCTCATAATATGTGTTTTAACTTCATTGAAAGATGACGTTATTGTAGTAACAATTCAACGGACAAGATGACTTACTCTTTGGCTTGAGAAACCCACAAAGACCATTTTAGAGTCCAAAAGTCAGCCGCTGACCAAATCAGTCCATGAATCCAATTCATGAATCCTATTTACGACGGGATGCACAGGGACACGCGGGAACATTCTCCGAAATTGTCTTTACGGCCTCCTTGTTGTGAGTTGGAGGTTTGCAGCTTGCAGGGCGAGGCCGAGCTCCAGGAGAGCCTCTTCCACATCAGCGAATAGCTGCTGAACCTTTGATAGTGCGCACCAATTACCTGACCTTGCCCTCTCTATATTTTGATCTCTATTTCACGAGGACAGTAAAGGCACGCCAAGTCCAACAGGAGTCTACATCTGACAAGTCACATCTGCTTCTGGTTAGCTCGTCTGTACGACAAACAGATGCTATCTCTCTGTTGACTCGCCTCCACAATCCGCACATGACCATAGCTGGTCGGGTTATTTTCCACTGAGCTGGGAGACATGGGCACGGATTAATAAGTAATCTATTGCGTCCTAAATTTCCACGTGATGGTATTTTAAACATTCATTAGAATGCGTGGATGCTATATGACCGACTTTCATCAGTCATCCTTGGACCAGCTTGGCGTAAATATGCAGTGTGAAAAGGCTTGTGGAACGTAGGTTGAAAACGGTACCATTGAGGTCTTTCCTCAGCTTACGGAGATCTCTTTCAAAGTCCTCAAACTTCATCTGGGATGCCTGGAAAAGGTCCTGGGGCTCGGGTAAAGAGTAGACACACGTCTCTCTGCCAGCATCCTTGTAAAGCACAAAACACACACACACACACACACACACACACACACACACACACACACACACACACACACACCAGTGTCAAAGTCAATCTTCCTCAAATGGCAATAGGCCCTCTCTAGTATATACTGTACACCAGGCAAGATTTAAACAAATGTTCTCAGAGCCCAACATGTTCTTTTCAACGGTCCAAACAGAGAAGATATGGCTGAAACTACAGCAGATTGTGACCACGTCGCTTGGTGCCTAAAGTACGCAATGAGTCTCTCCATCAGAGTTACTACGAGGCCGTTGCGGGTGCCAGAGCCGCGTCATGCAGGTTGACTTTGGCGAGCAGCAGTGTACTGAGTTCATCTCATCTGGAGGAACTAATTATTTACACTAGCGCTCCTTTGGATGCTGTGCCAATGAACAGACTGCAGGTTTGAATGAACCCAGAACAAAGCAGAGCGAGAGATGTAGAGTGAAAGACAGAAAGAAAACTAAAAAAAATGTGCCAAGGAAGAAGAGAGATTTGTTTCTGCCGTAAATGAGGAAAGAGAAAATAAATAATGTGATAAAGGATAAGCCATGGTATCCTCTGGCTAGAGAGGAGATGAAAAGAGCGCTCTGGAAGGATTTCTAAGCAAATCAGACTAAAACAGAAAAGTGATTCAAATAAACAGGAACCAAAACATACCTCATCAAAGTGCCTTAGATAGTAAGCAACAACGTAGGACAAAAGACTCTGGGAGTTATCCTGAAAGAAAGAAAATTATCCAAATAAATAAACCCCTTTATTTATTAATTCAATCATTTCGCAACAGGATGTTTTAATTTGTGCGGAGCAAATGGGAATAGAGACAGTGTCAAACATGAGGATAGATCACGGCATCGCAGCAGCAATACAACAGAACATGGCAGAGCTGGGAGGGCTTTCATAGCTCAGAGATGAAGGAAAGTTTGATGTTCTTTATGGTTACCTTACACGGTCCACCACCACAAAAACACAAACCACTGTGCCCTTATTTGGCTGTGCCAAGGGCACGCTGAGCCCGTTGTGATATTGAATAAGAACAGCAAACAGAAAGGCCTCTCCCCCAAATCTGCACAACTACGGTCCTCATGTTTGGCAGCAGCGAAGGTGCCTTTCAACTCCTGGAGAGTTATTTACGGTCACCTTTTTTCCACATCACTTATTTTCTGGTGCAATGTAAATTTACAGAGCAAAGCAGTTACCGCTGGAACTCTAAAAATAGTCATTTAAGCACATTTCAAAACGGGTTCTCCTTAAGACTTGATGGAGTGCAACCTCTTGTGGCTCGAGTGATGTTTGCTTTCGACGCCGTGATACAGACTCACACTGCTCTTGACGTCCTTCAGTTTTGGCAGAATGTCCAAGGTGAAGCCGTCTGCCTGCCCTCGGGACCGATTACCTCCGTTCATGAAGTTACCAAAAGCCAGCACCAGGCCGAGCACCTGCGATACACACGTACCGCTCTGCAGCGTCTGATGCACACACGCACACACAAACAAAGGTGAAGACATGAAGGTCAAACAGAGTCACGGAAAAGAACATTAAGCGAGCAGAGACCGAGCGGCTCACCTTGCACACTCTCTCAAGGATTTCTAATTTGCGGACGATTGAGGTGATACATTCGTGGAAAGTCGACTGAAACAGGATGCAGAACACTCGTTCACAGAAGTTGGGGATTTGGGATAACTGGAATAGAAACCTGAAGAAGGCACAGGATCAGTGGACATGACATCTAGTTAAAGACAGAGCTCTCGTGTAATGTTTGGTTGGTTCTTACTGTTCAGGCTTGTCCAGTGGCTTGGCATCCTCCTTGTCTTTGGATGATTTAATATGCTTTTTAATGCCATCCATCTCGTCGTTTTGAGCTCTCTGTAACATTAAAATGCAGATCAAGTTAAGATGGAAATGTATTTCCTATGGGCACGGGAAACCAAAAGGTACTTAGACCACAGCATGTCATTAAAATGTCCAAACACAAGAACGTGTAATGTCATCCTTAGTCTCAAACATGAACAAAATGTCTTGCTCAAATCAAAAACTAGTTTAGCTCAGCCAACCCAAATACACCAGGGGCAAATAGTTTGATTTGGGAAAAAAAACAACTTCTTCAACTCCTAATGCCAAACACATTGAACAGGAATCATACTTCTACAGGGGAAAATACACGCCTCTCTTTTGGATACAAACTCTGTGAGTGTTTTTTATACTTGTATGGTTTGGGGGTCTAAAGTGTCTGTAGCTAAAGACAAACCACTGCATGCATGACACAAACATTGGCAATGTAAATGGATGGGCCCATGATGAGTTGGGACATGAATTGCAGTACCCATATTTCGACCCATATGGGTGAATTGAGTACAGTGGTTGTTTCTTGTATCACCACGACCTCTGAATCTCTATAGTCAGATCAAATGCAGAGATTTTATAGAGGAGCCATATGATGTTTTGTCAATTTTTTCGGATAAAAAAACAAAAATGTAGTAGTAATGTAGTACTTTTGAAACAACACAAAAAATAAACTGCAATTCTTCAACTCCATCTTTCTTTTGTCAGGTTATTTCCTATTAATTCTGAACTAGTTCTGCTGTTTTGTGAACACAACTGAACGCCGTCCATTAAATACAAATTCCATAAATGTTAGTCGATCCAGCCAGACTACATTCCTCACCATTATCCTTCTGTCAGATCCTGGACCACAGTTTTAAACAAGGCGATGCAAAAAGAAAGCAGGCCAAATGCCCCTTCGTTTCACAAGAGGCAAAGACAATAGATGTTAATGTTTTTTCACGCAATGAGTACAACATTAAACCATCCCCAGGAAGGGAATGTAAACCGTCTCCATGCTCTCCAGAGCCCCAAAGACCCCCAAAGTCTGAGTCTCAGCAGTCTGGTCTCTCCATCTCTCTCTCTCTCTCACTCTCTCTCTCTCTTTCGGGCTTTGGCCTCTGCATGGATCCGTGGAAAACATCAAACGGCAGCATCAAAAGCACCGAGGGCCCGATTAGTATTCTACACACCGCTGCCTTCTGTCGACGAGTGCAAAGCTCTCCTTCGCCTTCTCTTGAGATGTTTTCAAGTGTAAATATATTTAATGCAAAGCAGATCCTTTTCAAAGGGCAGCATCGGAGCCCAGCAGTGTTTGGTGTAATTGAGGACAAGTAGGCATTAGCGTGTGATCTTTCAATTGCTAGGGCATGTTGCAGTGGTTGTCAGCATGAGAAATACGGTCCCACGTGGAATATCGAATGCAAAAGAAAGTAGAATGATATTCGTGATGCCAGAATTCTAGTTGAAGCCAAGTGTTGTTCATTACCCAGGTTTCTAGGGAAGGTCTAAACAGCTCCAGCTAGGGCTCAATCACTATTTACGTCACTCAATTTTCAACGGAACACCATTTTTAAGATTATTTGTTCATGAAGATACCAAAGAATATTGCGCGAATGACAAGTTGCGTCATCTTATAAACAATTTTGGAATCAACAGGTTTTGCCTTAATAAAAAAAGTTAGTATAAGTCAATTAATTGTAGTGTGAAAGTTCTTGGGAGGCACCAGCGCTCACAATGACCTCCATGACATTTAGCTACCGTCGGCTAAAAGGAGCCTGAACGCAAGACTGTCTGGACCCAGATTATAGCGTGCGATATTAAAGGGGAGGGGGGAGTGGTGTCCCACTATCGCCGTGACCCCTTTAACGGCGTCGGCACGTTGTTCAAAGAACAGCAGCGACCGTAATCCTCCGCCCATAGACTGAGCGACTCTGCCCCGGCCTGTGTGCACACACAGTACTGTATGTGCACATTGCTGTGGGTCAACGTGTTTGTTTGTGAGGGGGGGGGGGGGGGGGAGAAAAAAAAGGAAAAAGGGAGAGTGAGGGAGAGCAGTGTGTGATCTTACTCCTAGAACAGTGAGTGAGGGTGTAACCATTAGAAGCCCCTCGCATTCCTCAAGACAGGCTGACTGTGCTGCCAACTGTGGTTTAGGGGGCTGGAGACCCACAGACAGGATGGAGTCTCGCAATACAAAAGAGAAACAATTTGGCTCCTCGACTCAATAACACTGCCGTAGGCCGTGAGGGGGAGAAGGAGAGAGAGGGAGAGAGAGGGAGAGGGCTTGAAGTCTCGGGCTGAGCGGAGACTTTTGATCCTCGGTTATGACACATCGGTTCATGGCTGCAGCTCGTTTCAGGCCTCAGTCTCATTCCCATAATCAACGTTATTAATATGTCTCCGGCAGCCAAAAGGTCCAGGCCTCTCTTTGTGTAGTTGTGCCAAAAACACAATTCACAGGAATTTCACAGCATCTTAAATCTGTATTACAGCTGAAATGTGGAAAGAAATGCGCATTTTCATGTTCCATCATTTACTGACCCGTGCAAAAACGGGTCCTGAACCATTTCCACCGGGCGGGGGAAGATTTCGGAAACGGTGATGGAAATGTATTGACTGTAAACAAGGAGCCCCTGATGGCCCTTTGACACGTTGCATAGTAGCGATGAGGGCTCCGTAATTCTCTTGATGATAATACCACTCGATTCAATGTAGTGGTTGAAATTGGCACAATTCACCGTGGTTTCCGTTTTCCCATTTAATCTTTTTTTTTTTTTTTAAAGCACTTTTAAGAGGAGCCGTTTGCCACAAAACCCTGGAGTTTCTCAACAATCATTTCCTTTGCACAGCGACATTACCAAAGTGAATTCAATCACATCTGGTGTGAAGACAATGAAAACAATGTTTACTATGTGACAGCGTTGGTCCAAGACGCCAACAATTACAGCAGTGTGGTTTGTTTTTGGTATCTAATATATACACTTCAGTTAGATCCCCCTTTTAGAGAAATATGTTCACAGTAAAATGAGAATGGGCAAAAATCGCGTTGATTTATTTTACAAACACACCAATTAAATAAAAAGTGGATTGTTTTTTCTCCCGTTCAGGTTTTGGTAACCATCACAAGGTATCCTCTGATGGATAGCAGTTGGTGTTTTGTGGTTTCCCCCGTAGGAAAATGGGGAATAAAGCAACACTAACAGCCGATGAAGGATTCTTTCTCCATTATGTTGATATCATGGCTTGTTGGGACCTCTTAGGTTTCACTGTATAATAAAATAATTCCCTGTTACTCACATATGGCATGAAATGTGTAACCATGAATGATATTTATTCGTCACAAGCAAACTGTTCTACAAAAAAAAATGACTTCCACTGCAACGCACAGAGGAAAAGAAAACACGGAGCGTTGCAGTGGTGTTTGTTGCTCAACATTGTGTATTTATATTGTTTTCCGACATTGGCGGGAGGGGGCAGAAGTGTATTTCATTCGGAGATATTGTCTTTTTGTGTGTTTATTGACTTTTCCGAAACCTAAGGCCACACCAGCTTTGATCATCCTGTCATCAGAGTGAAAAAAGTTAGAAAATGTTTACGAACGTTGTAGCCACAAAGACATGGTTCCAGCTCCGAGGGCTGTTGCGATACTCACATTCTCATAGAGAGCTTGCAGAGTCTCCAGATCAACGACTGCGTTGTCCATATTTAGGACGGCTGTGGACGGAACGAGAGGACGGCACGGTGAATGCGAACGTTAACACGGAAGCATGTCATGACTTTTCTCGGCTACCTTGAGGGAACACCAACAACAAGTCAGAAATCAAAGCACAACACAAGTAGGGCCTCCACTTCAGATCGGAACATTTTCTTTGGCTCAAACAACGATCACAAACATTGGCAGAGCGCTTTTTTTTCCGATCTTTGTTTCTGCTCCGCTGGAGCAGAGTATGGAATGAAACAAGGTCGAAATTCTCGCCCGGCGGCCCACACGAACGGGTCATATGCTGCGACTTACGTAGCTATCAGCTCTCATCGCGATAGCACGGAAGGGGCCGCTAACTAAAACATAAATACGGAGGTCTTATAAATCTGTCAAAGGTACAAAGATCTGTGTTTGAACTCCTGTGTTTGAATTCCTGGTGTCGCCTTTTTGTCTCGGCGCGAGGACCTGGCGCCCGGGAGCATTAATCCTTTGAAAGTAAATGTTTAAAGACAAACAGAGCCCGGGGGTCTGCGGTGTTGAGGCTGAGGTGTTGCTGTACGCACGATCACCCGGCAAAGCACTCCACACGTATATATATATATGTGTATCTCGCCGTGCTGCGGGGTGTCCAGATTGCTAACGTTGTTTTTGCTCTGCTCATTTGCTGTTGAGGTACGGGGGGACTAATGTCACAGGGGCATGAAGGGACTCAGAGAATTTGCATCACATCTTATGTTTGACTTAAAAGATTTTCATTGACTTGAGCAGAATAAAAAAGAAAATCATTTAGAGAACAGCCATGCATTTGGGTGGAAAAAGCCTAGAGGGATTGTTGTTTGTTTGCAGTAAGTTCGATCTGCTGATCTGTGATATTAATTCATCTCCCTTCATGTAACCCGCCGAGCTCGGTGCTGTCACCCTCTCACCTCTTCACACTCTTCCCTCTTCCAAAAGCCACCGCAGGAATAACTTCCTCCTCCCTGAGCTTCTCTTGTTTTTGTTTCTCGCACTTTTCTCTGGTTACGGTTTGGTTTTTCATTACTATCAGAAACAGAGTCTGGGAGGCTGGTTTGATTGGAGACATCTTTATTTTTTTAGATTTTTAAAGAGACATGTGAGAAAGCTGTATCATCATTCTCACACAGCCCTGTTACGACCGAAAAGCCAAACCCCTGCGCCTGGTTCCACCCTGACTACCACATTCAACCCTAGCGTGGCGCCGGCAACCACCATTTAATACTGTGATTGGCGCTTGAAAGCCTCGCAGGAAGCAGACACCGCATGGAAGCGTCCTATGAAACATGCAGAGTGTCGGCCAAGATCAACCCCAAGCAACAACAGCTGGGAGGAAAAAAAAAACATTTGTTGACTTGCTGTGCAAAAAAACACTCCCCAGAAACCATCTAAATGTGAAGCCATTTTAGAGGTTTGATGAAGGAACCTCACTCTTTTGTAAACTCATTTTCATTTGGTTGTTTAATTGTCCTGAACCTCCAGCGACAAAAGGGAGCAGGAGATCATTTGGTAAAACGGACGCATATATGATCCTCTGGTGAAATAAAATTGACGCCTAAAAACCAACAAATTAAAATGCATGAGAACCTAAATGAAAAAACACATTCTGCTGTGACTTTGCTTGTGCAAGGCGCAGAAATCTTTACTCGGATCTTACTCTCAATGATATACTGAAGTTTCCAATCAGCACTAATTTTGCACCTAAAACTGTCCTAACACAGGAGATGAATGACCGGTGCCGGTGAGAGAACCCCCCCCTCTCCGACCAGAGATGGATGAACCAACAATAAAATGCATTCAAGACATTTCAGTTAAACAAAATAGCCCAACAGATCTAATGTCTTTGTGTGTATAACACGTACCGATCAACGGGTTCTGTGGTGCACATTTATTTTAATATAAACTACCCAGCTGCAAGTTAGTCAGAGAGCGGAAGCTGTGAAGGCTCCAACAGGAGGAGTGAACAGGATGGGGAGATGAGGAAGAGTGTTTAGACACATGGATGAGCGAAGACTGGAGAGCAATCAGAGAGAAACTAAAACAGGAAAACCGTCTCTTCCCATCCACGTCTCCCGAATGACTTCACTTTAACAAAGCCAATCAGACAAAACGGTGACAAGTCAGAGAAAAACGGAGTGCCGCGGACAAAACGCGATGTGGACTTTAGATGGGGAGAGATTATGCCAAACAAGGGCAAGGAAAGGGGGCGAGCAGCAGAGGGAAAACACATGAGATGCGTTGCGACATCACGACGAAGCTAGAAAGGAGGTTTAAGCTTTGACCTCAGTTAACACTCAATCTTAGTCACGTCCTAGTTGACTGGAAACAATATGTTTTCAATAAGAAACTGGAATAGTCACACTCAAAAAACTAAAAAAAGAATCTGACAGAACGGCCAACTTTTTAATTTTGTGTACAGAACTTGTAAAATATGTTTCAGATTGGCGTTTGATGTCAGTGTTCAGCGTGTCCATTGTTTATTGTAAGTTACTGCCTCTCCTACAAACAATATTCCAAGTTGTAAATCACATAAAGAGCAGGACATGTACAGATTGAGGTCCCACTGTGAATGATTTTAACGAATTATGAAATGTTTCGACATGTGGTATAAAAGATAAATGTTTTTGGCTGCTGTGGTGGATCTATAGCGTCTTCCCAACAGCAGTTTTATTAATTTGATGATCAGACTCAGATACCGATTATCAAACTTTTGGTTTTCACATTCCAAATATCCCTCCCAGATGTGCGATTACTTTTTTTCTTTTGAAAAATTGAAGAAGAAAAAAATCACCAACCGATCTGTTTTCCATTTTCTCCACGTTTACAATGCTGCTTTCAATACCACCCCATTGCATTATTTCATTGTAATCTATGTGATATGGATGATATGGCTTACCATTCTGGATGTCCTTCATATCAAGATGAATGCTGGACATCAGAATTCCTACAGCCTGAGAACGCTTGTTGTTCAAGAGCTTCACCACCTAAGTGAGTTGATGGGAAAAAGACCAAAGAGAACAGGGAGGATTAGTGCATCTTATGTCATGGCATGATGCACAAGCACATGAAGACAAAACATTTAATGAATAAAAGAAGGGATCATTTCTCCCCTTCATCGGTCTCCTTTTTTGGGAAGAAAAACTGGAGAAAGTAAAACACCCTGAAGGAGAATGATGATTAAATGTGCCTCCCTTTCCTATGATTCTCCACTTCCATCATCTTTTAGTCGTCGGAAAGAAATCTTTCACGCAACAAGAAATGGAAATTTGATCCAGAAACAGATCCCTATGGCTTCAATTACATTTTATTTCATGGAATTTCACACTGCAAGGATTTTCTTTTTTCACAGCCGACATAACGTGAAAACTTTCCTAATGCAAAGATCAAACCTCCTCAAGAAAGCTGTTATATTACCAAAGGTCAGCTGAATAGTCATAACTTCCACTTGTCAAACAGCCAGGAGTCGAATATCAAGCCGGCGTTGTTATTAAGCAAAAAAACAGCAACCATGGGGATGAGGGGGGGGGGCATTATGTACCACAGGTCGCCTGAGTTAGCAGACGTGTGCGCCGGGTAGTGAGGCGTCGGGACAGGAAACCCGTAGCTTTCTGTGATCCAGACAGGACTCTTCCATCTAAACCAGATCACACAGACCACAGACCTCTCCCACAGGAAGTCACATCACCAGTCCCCCGACTGGCTCCGTTTCCCCCGGCTCAGCCGCAGCTTTCGAGGCGCAGGCCGGGGCGAGATACGCCGGTGGGAATATCTTCCACGGTGGGACCGTGATAGCTGGTGCAGCTTTTTAGCGACAGTGAAACAGGTCGTTAGTCGGGATTTATCATCTGACCCGACTCTTCTAAATGTACAAACGGGGCAAACTTACATAAAACAAAGTTCAGCGGTTTACAGAGTTGCCTGATATCACTTTACCCATTTTTGCATTGATCTAAAAAATGCCCTCGCAGTGTATCAGTAGTATTATTTTATAATGAAACACAGCTGGATCCGTGAACCACTAGGGTTGGAGAAAACAATTTCATCACTAAAACTACCCTAAAAAATGTAATCTAATGCCGTGTCTTTCGGCCTTCTCATGACATCCATGTGCCTAGGCTTTTTATTGAAAGAAATCTTAAGTCACGTTAATTAAATGTTGATCTTTTGATTTATTCAGCATTTCAGCATTTGCCAATATGGACTTTCATCAATCCCATGCAGCTCTGAATCACATGTGAAAATTAAACCACTGAGGCACAGCTTGTCCTCTGAAACGAAGCTCAGAAGAGCCCATAAAATAAAAAAGAATAGACATTTCCACTTATTTCTTTACATTTAGGACTGAGCTTAAGTTGAACTGAATCGTTGAATAAGACTTGAATAAGTATCATTAGGTGCAGCCCTCATCCTCCAATTGCCACGATTATAAGAAATCCTTATTCATGCAGGAGGTGAAGAGACCCAATCTGAACATTGGCTTCTATTCTATCAGGAATGAAAACACACTTTGCATCTAAAATGCTGCTGGATTGACCCCCAAATACCATGAAACAAAACCGAGATCACAAACGTAATTCAGCAGCACGGCTACATTAAACCTCGTCTCAGAGAGAGAACAGAGAACTCCTCTGCAGATGGACCTTCAGGTCAACACTTCGGTCGACACTGGACAATGACGACCTTTCACATCGGAGGCCTTTCCACCGGCAGAGCACTGACGTCAACGCTGCTCTCCCAGTGGTGCGGCTTTGGGGAGGATGATTCCCATCATAAAGACAGTGGAACTGGCCACACACAACGTCTCACACTCGTCGGGGTCATCTCTTGTATCTAGACTTGCGTTTCTCAGGTGTTGAAGGAACCATCTAACATCTACTGAAGTGGCAACAGGTTTGATTGTGTCTTTTCTGTTTAAAAAGGAATCCCTGTATGACAGAAGGATTTTCCTGTTTTCCCGTTTCTCATCGCTGTTGAATTTTGTGCTTTATTGGATCAAAGCTTTAAGGTGAGTTTTTCCCGCCACTTGTTTGCTAAACATCGGGGCGTTTATAATTCTCCTTAACAATCAAATGAACCCATGAAATGGTGGAAATAAGACACAGATGGGGAGGCTGAGGCTCAGCAGGTCTCAGGTATACAGTTCGTAAACGGTCCTTCAACTTTTATACAACAAATCAAACCATGTATTATCTTTATTATTATCATGTTAGGGAAGGAGAGCTCAACCTTTGGAACTTTCCCCTCAATTGAAACCTGTTGTAGTTTTTATATTTTGGCCTCGAGTTTCACTTCATCACTTCCCATAAACTAAAAAGATTTCCCACCAGCTTCCACTCTTGAGACCAATATTTCATCTCAGCAACAACTGTCTGGTGATCCCACTGGGTCTTAATTACGGGGGCGAGACCCTCGTCCTTGGTGTACATTATACCTGATTCAGACACATTTGGACAAACAGCACATTAACATAATAATCCGGACCAATGCAGCTTGAAATTGTAAGTCGAAGGATTGATGGAGTGGCATGGAGGCCATTGGCAAGGCAAAAAGTCTGTCTATTAAACTAAGTCATACAGAAAGCACAATGGGAGGAACCACATCATAAAAGATACAGCTTCCAGGCTTCTCCTTCCCTCCCTCCTTTTTTCCTTCCCCCCCCCCCCCCGTCTCCCTCAACAGTCATCACCGTCGTGAGGTTTCCTCACCGCACGCGAGACATTGGCTCGGTGCCACCGGATGGTCGCAGGGGAGTCGGGTGGGAGCCAGAGCTCACACCACATAATGACCGTCTGGCTGAAGCGGTTCCTCCTGTCACTCAGAGCAACTCGGGGAGCGACGGAGAGGAAAAACGTAAAGGATCAAGGCCCCAGAGGAGTGAGAGTGAAGATGGGAAAAGGCCTGAAGAGGAACCATATTTGGTGACCCAGGGATGTAGACACACACACACGCGCACACACGCACACGCACATAAAACATACTTTACCTGCTTGGCCTTGGACTTGCTGATTGTATCTGAAATTGGCTTTTTCTTCTCTTTGACAGCACTTTTGGAGAAAAGTTCCACAAATTCTTTAAAGTCCACACTCGGTTCTTCTATAGTCTCCCACACCAGTGGGCTTGTGGGCCTGAAGACAGGAGGAAAGATGAATTATTGTAGGAGCAATGACAGGCAGCCATGCATTGTTTGAAAAGGTTAAGCCAAGTCCACTTTTAGAGTTAACTCCTGTTTTTATTTCACCACAAAATGCATTTTCCAGTTTTTAAAATCCACTCATACAAATGTATCATTCAAATCTCTCGGCCAACACGTTGCACTTAGAATTCAGCATCGAGCTCCTCACTTGCAAGTGAATCAAGTCTATTTCTAGATGTTTACTCAGCTACAATTTTCCGAGCCTTATTAAGGAAAGAAAACCCGGTTCAAGTAAATTCGGTGCTGACCACAATGCCTGGACTGCATCACTTTCATTTTCCACAAGGATAGCGTCTCTGTCGCCGTCGGAGCACGTGGCGATCTTTATCTTAAGTGGACAAGCTCCCTCTCTATCCTCTACTGTTCGGAGAATACCTCCGTGCAAATGATCCGTATCTATCAAACAGCATGTCCTTACTTTTTAGCAATCAGCTGTATCCGTGTCCAGTAGAGGGGCTTCATTGGCTTGGGGGGCTCTATCGCAGCCTTGGCAGGGGCAGCTTCCTGCACCATCATGGTGGGCATGGAGCCTGGTGGTGGTGGAGGCCCAAAGCCCGGGGGCAGGGGTGGAGGAGGGGGGCCCATTCCAGGAGGAAGGGGCGGCGGAGGAGGTCCGAAACCGGGCGGGGGTGGAGGTGGTGGAGGTCCAAAACCTGGTGGAGGAGGAGGAGGCGGTGGTGGACATTGTCCAAAACCGGGGAAGGGCGGGGGTGGCGGTGGCGGTGGAGGAGGAGGAGCAACACCTCCTGGTGGAGGCGGTGGTAAAGGTGGTGGTGGAGGTGGGGGTGTGGGAGCTTGATGGGCACTGCTCTGTTGCCTCCGTTGGCACGTGCAGACAAAGCTCTCTGGAGATTTGGGGATGGAGGACGGAACGGAGGACGGAACGGAGGACGGCGTGCCGCTGGATCCCCCCATGAAAGGCACGTCAAACTCAAGCCCCTCCCCCACAGGTGAGGTCTGGACGGACACCTCGTGGCTCGTCCGTCCCAGTGTCCCTCCTCTCATCTGTGAGGGCTTGTGGTGGGCAGAGCTCGGACCTCCCTTTGCCAAGGAGGCCCGCTGGCCCTGCAACAGGGCGATCCGAATGCGCAGGTCGTCGACTGTCCTCTCCAGCTGAGGGATGAGGCAGCTTTCATCCTCTGGGGACGACGGACCCGACTTCACCCCGCTGGATTCTGTCTGTCAATGAGACAAAAACAAAGACTTTACCCTGTAGCACAACAACATTAATGTTCACAACCGAATGGGAACTGAAGAAAAATCTTCTTTAAAGGCAGGTAGTCTAGTTTGCCCTTTTCTCTAAAAGGCAGATATACTAAATTGCTGTTGAGTCCTGGACACGTTGTCATTTGATAAATTACACTATAAACAGTAACACACCCACAGCTCAGGCAGTTAGTGACTGCCGTGAGGGTAAAAAAAAAATTCTGAAATGTCTAGACTCCATCAGACCTCTGGCTCCAGACTGGTTAGAGCTGGGATGAGGGGATACTATGAGACTTGACCCCAGAGACAGTGAGTCTCGTTGGGCCTCACATGGGGAGGACGTGTGTCTGCTACATTCTCCAGTTATGGTCACATCACTGAATCTTAAGGAGAATGTTCATTCAGTATGGTCTCGCTAATTTATTATCTCTTCCTGGAAACAGGGAGGGTCACTGGAAGTCTCACAAGTCTTTCTAGACAAGCCTGACCTCTGGTGGAAAGAGAACAACCACAATCAGGAGGCTCGAGTCGACTGTATTCCTCAAGAATTAGACAGGATTACACACAATATGTTGTTGAATGTAATATGCATCTCCCTTTTGGTCGTTGATACTGCTGGATTGAAAACATTTGTGCATGTGTTTTAAAGGGAGGGAATAGCTTGGAGAAATCCACGAAAGTCTTAAACTGGGGGTTCTGTACAGTATGTAGAGCCTCGTTCTTTAGTCTCTAAAACCGTGCAGTATTTTTTTAAATATAAAAAAGAACAAACTTTTTAATAAAAAACTAAAGCCATTGCATTGTATGGAAAATTATTTAAGACTTGCAGATTTTTTTAGATGATATTTGCTCTTTTCATTTGTGCAGAATTGAAAAATTAGATGACAATTCACACATAGAAGTTGACTAAAATTAAGTGAAAGAAAGGAAAAACATTTGGTTATCTCTCACACTGTATTCATGTGATAGAAACAGGACAATGGGCCTCACTCACCAAATGCTCTCAAGAACCAATTTGTGCTTAATCCACACAAAGATTCTGGTATTCACCAATGTTTTCTTTGGGATTCGCTCTTAGGTAAGAACAGAATTTACTCACACCCAAGAGCACTCTTACACACTATTGAGAGAAGACATGTTCGAGCAATATAAGTACGTTTTTGTCTGTTCTAATTTAAAATGGAATATTTCTCTCCTCCTTTTGCAACTGATTATTTGTATTATTTTACACACAATTTTATGTCTGTTTGTTTTAATAAATACACACTACACTTACACGTTCAAAACAGCATTTCACTGCAGGGGTAATTGAATGAGGCACACTGCTCTGTGCCGTTGGAAGTTAAAACAAAATACAACATCCAAGCCGGCACCACGCACAGTGTGGACCGGACAATTCTAAAGGGAAGTGCGTTAAGATGTTACGAGGATTCAACCAACCTGAGAGTTTAGGGCTCCTGGTGTTTTGGCTGATGATTGGTGCAAAGGGGATCTCAGTCTTTGTTCTCTGCCTGACGTTCGCCCCCCATAGACTTCCCACAGATGAGAAGACACAGGCAGGCCTACGGAAGCCCAGGTGTAAAGCTGCTCCTCCTGCAAAACGGTTTAAGGAAATAAGCTTCAAGACTAACACACGAGAAAATGACATCAGATTGAAGGACAGGTATCTAAGCTAAAGACTTCAGCTATAATAGATGTTACAGGGACGGGTATTTTGTGCCCATGAGGCAGATGAGTTTCCCCACTGCGACTGTGTTAACCGATTTATGTGCCTACAAGAAAAGTAAAACACAAGCAACTACACACATAGAACAAAGCGTATTAGATTGCAATGCTAATGCTGTAATTGCAATGCTTTGCCAGGTGAAAGAGGGGTGATATTTGATTTACACACAGTTCTTCGATTCTCATCCCCCCCCAAACCTCATTTCTAAAAAGAAAGAGAGAGAAGTTGATGTATTCAATTTCAAGCTGTATGCAAAAGAAGAAACTCCCCGCTCGTACATTAGTTTACGACGGCAAAGCAGTGAAATACAATACCATATTTAGGTTGAAAATCGGAAGATAGATGGGGAGTTGAGAGGCAAAGATGGAAATAAAAGGATAGCAGGATGGCGGAAGAGAAGGAAGAGGTGATGAAGGAAGTGATTCATATCGAGATGGGATTTAACTGTTAAGGAAATCAAATTGTAAAAGACTGCGGTAATGAAGACGTTATAGTGAGAAAAAGGTTGCAGAGGTGCAAAGATGGGCTTTGATGATTCATTTCATAGCTGTAAAAAAGGAAGCAATGACAATGAGATCTCTACTCTGAATGGCAAAAGCTTTTTTGGACAAGCTGAATAATGCAATGACTCCGGGCCAGGCTTCAGACGGAGGCAGAGTGAGGACAAAAAACACAACAACAACAAAGGGGGCGGGGGGTTAGGAGCGAAATCCTGCCCTGACATGGTGAGATTTTTGCTGGGGAAGAGCAGCCTGAGCCTAAGGCACGTGGAGCTGTTACATAACATGGTCAGCAGATGATCTACGCATACGTGCATGTGTGTCTGAGGGACTGCTGTTAATCCAGCCATGGAGGAAATGCCTGTAGGGCATATATATATATATATATATATATATATATATATATATATATATATATATGCACATGCGGCAGACTTGAGCTCTGGCTTTGAGTCCTATTGAGACCCCACGCTAGGGAAGCAGAACGATGAATATATTTCAGATTCATTGCGTTTATGAGAACAAAACAGCTACAGGGTGTGGATGTTTAGTTATTTATGTGTATGTATGCATAGTGAACCTTTATGCGTGGATACAATGCTCGTATGTGCATAATGTTTCATGCACATGTGGTGCGAGGAGCAGTGTGCAGCTGCAGACCGACTCTGATCTGATCACATTTTTTGTTAATCAACAGACAAAACAACAAGACTAAGAGTCTAAAACCATGCAACAGCCCTGGGATAAAGGTACATAATTCATATTTAACTTTTCAGTAAATAACAGAACGATCAGTTGGATGAGAAGCTGAAACAGGAAATGAGCTGCCAATGGTGGACTATGCAGGCTGATGAGATGCTCATGATATTATGTTTCAGCAGTACGGGAATGGAGAATTAAATATTTAGGACATTTCACGTGGTCACCCTGTCTACATGCACCGCTGCTCTTCAGATAATAAAATGTCTCCAGGGTGAATCACAGACATACATATGAAAACACTGATTTGATAAGCTTTGCGTTTCTCTGTGTACTGTACATATGGTAAATGTTATTTTAAATCACTTTCTGCCACATTCTTTGAGTATATCATGAGAGGAGCGAATATCAATGAGTTAAGCATTTTGTCCATCTCATTTTTTGCAAGCTGATGTGAACTGTGAAAGTTCAAGGAACTTCAGCGTTGACTCCACGTTTCAGACTAAGAAAATACCGGCCGATGTCTAATCAAGGCAGCCACAATCCTGCCGGACAGTCGCTAACAAGGCACATCACAAGTTCCTCAGTTCTTGCCTCTAAAAGTCAGAACAATTTGTACTTTTATCGTAAAAACATATCCAGCTATCGAGCTGCTGATGCAAGGTCACTGATGTTGTAATTTGTGTAAACCGAGCATGAGGACTTACATCAAACAGTGGTGGGGCATCGATGTGTCCCTGGAGCTTGGCTGTGCTGTCACTGAAGGGGTGCAGCAGACCCTGGACCAACATTCGGTGACATAGTTCCTTCGCATCCTTTTCTGCAGACGCGTCTCCTCCATGCATACACAAGCGGTCCAACAGAGTGCGACCTGGGGACAGAAAGGCAGTCAAGTGTGAAAAGTGCAAGATCCAAACTGGCCCAATAAATAAAGAGCTTGACTTTCTGTTAAAACTAATGAATCCTGATTCTACTTATTTTTTTACATATTATAACAAGGAGAGCCAAATTTGTCAACCCGACATCTTGAATCCCTCCAACCAAAGTGATGAAAGGTGATGTCTCAGTTTCGGATGTGATAATTAAACACCTAAATGTGCAAACTAGATTTGTACGGCTAAATAAGGATGATAGGAGAGATGGTTTGCTTTGAAGTGCAAAGAATTAAAACGTGCAAAAATAAATTTAAGTTAGAAGCTATCCAGTAATATCACACTTAGAATTAGACAGAGACACAGAATTATTTTTGTAATAGGGAGTTTTAGGTTTCATCAGAAAGACATTCAAGAACATTCCGTAACATTATGGAATTTGTTTTGTTCTTCTTTATCTTCCCTCTACCTCCTAAGGGCCCGATCCGACCTGGAGAACTCGCTAAAATGATTGCGACATGCAGAATTGTATTAGCAACTGACTCGGCGGTGAAATAACCGATTCTCTGGGAATAACAACAGTTTATGTCCATTCATTTGCAAATGCCAGATATTCCCAATGTTCAAGATCAAAAATGACCTCCATTGCTTGGGTACAATAAATTTGGCTGACAAAATGAGAATGGACCTTATATCATGACTCATCTTTGTCATGCAGATGAACTGTCACTCGGGTTTAGCATCCAGTGTCTACCGTGTGTGTGTGTTTGTGTGTGTGCGTGGCATGGCCCTGAGTGTTGTCGTTGGGTCTGATTTATGAGCACAGGCTCAGACTGTGGAGAGCAGCTGAGCTCTTGAAGTGCACCACAACAGAAAGGAGGACAGAGGGGCATTGTTTTATCAGAAGGAGGCATTGGTTACGAAGACACTCTATGAAACCCTCTTTGTTTAAACAAAGCTATTGTATTGCTGTGATTGTTTGTATAGCCTCAGAATTTGTCACTATCATGTTTATAACTAAACAAATCACCATAACCATTTACAAGTTCTATTTTATAATAACCCAGTCTCAATATGGACGGATATTGGGGCCAAACTAATAGTTTTACCCTATACAGAGTTTCCTCTTGTTCATTTGGGTTTAATAGTCAAATTTTATCTCAGTCAAATACCAGGAAATGACCAAAACCAAGAATGTATTGAGCCAACTAACAAATTGGCCTTGCATTACTTTAAGCCTAACATAGGTTATTCCTCCATTCCTCTCCATTGTTGTCAAAACACTTTAGGCCTGTGGGTTTTATTTCCCCATATCCACAACAACAAATGATCCATTAGCTTCTGTCCGAGCTTCGCTTGCTGAAAGCTAAAGTGCCTTCTTGTTTTAGGAAACCACTTAGCAAGGGATTTACCTCTTGTTGAAACAAACTTAAAGTCGAGTACCACCAACAAGAAGTAGGAAAGTAAAGAGGGACAGACGTATTGATGTTTTATTTTTTTGGTAGCTTTCTACTTAAACCCCCAAATCATTCCCCTCTGTATGTACTTACTTTGATAGCAGCATTGAAACACTACTACCGACATCAAACGGGCATCCAGAATCAGTGCAATGTTTTTGTTGGATATTGTTTAGCACTTCCCACCTGTCTGATTGAGCTCCATGTGCGTCAGCAGTTCTGTTACCTGTGCTACATGTGACTCACCAGAAAAGACATCCAGGTAGGGTGCTGTGGTGGTGGAGGTCTTCCGTCCATAATGTGCTCTCCTGGTGCCCAGTGTCCAGTACAACCCGCCCGTGTGACCTCCCTCTGGTATTTCCGGTTCTGTAAATTTGGCCCTGCCACCCTGCCTCCCTCTTAGCTTCTCCAGCTCCGTAAGCCAGTCTGCAGACTCAACAGGGGGCCCAGCGATGGAGCAAGACCGCTGCTTGTGCCTCCTAAACCCCTGGGCAGATTCGACTGACGCAACAGTGACCTCTATTTTTCTCGGCACGTTGGGGCTGGTAATAGGGGAGCCGATGGGGGAAGTGAGCTGCCTGGTGGTGGTCTTAACGTAGGAGGGGTGGACCGGAGGGTAGAGTTTGACAGTCGAGGGCGAGGTGGTGGAGGAGGTCCGTCTTGGGTGGTAGTCCGTAGTAAGCTGACTAATAGACAAACTACTCTTCCTCCTTTTCAGGGACAGGAAGTCCCGTCTCCCAGTCTCCTCTTCATCCTCCCGCTCCAGAGACAGGTCCATGCTGCTAGCACTCTTGTGAGACGGCATCGGCCCCGCCTCCATGGGATCCAAGCGGACACTCGGCACTCGTGTGCTTCTGCTCTCAGGTGCCTGATTGGCTTGAGGCCGCCGTGGGGGCAGAACAGGACTCTCCGGGTCATCCTGGGGTTCTTCTGCACTTTCGTACGAGGTGCTGGTGGCTGTGGTGTCAGGGAAGCTGTACGAGCTGTTGGTTTTTGGGAGAAGGCTCCCACTACTGTCCGCGCCTGAAGATGTTGGGCCGCTTTCAGGGGACCCTGGACCAGAAGAAGAGCTCTCCTTCTCTATGTTCTTACACCCTTCGTCTACTTGTTGAGGTACACATTCAGAGAAAACGTCCTCATCCAGATCAAATCGCCGGTGAGACGTTACCTTCTCAGAGGCTTTGTTCCTGTCAAATGTTGACACTTGGGATAAGAAGCCAGTCACCATTTCCAGCTGGTCCCCGGCCACACATTGGTCTCTTATGGTCTGCTGGATGTCAGAGAGCAGGTCTTCATTTTCCGCTGCTGCAGAGTGAAAACTGTAGAGGTCAGCGTCCGACCCAGAGCTTGCCTTTCGGCCAATCTCATCCCCAATAAACTGTTGAATGTCTGCAGTGAAACCGTCAAGATCGCCCTCGACATCTGAATGCATCTCATCAGCTGATAAGTTCGCCTCAGCAAAGGGCTTTGGCCCTGCTTTGCCAAAGCGGCCTGGCCCCCCATCTTCCAACATGTCATCTTTAGACAACCCCTTCGCCTTCGATAAACTCTTCCTGATTTTAATGCCGGAAAACACAGAACCCTTCGAATCTGACTTTGACTTCTTCCGACCTCCGTGTTCTCCTCCTCCTTTACTTATCTTATTGTGGGACTTTTTGGTTTTCCTGTCCACCTCCCTCTCATCAGCATCACAAGAGGCATCTCCTGCTGCTCCGCCACTTCCTCCTCCTTTCTTCTGCTTTGCTTCCTGGTTCCCCATGTTCCTGAGCAGGCGGACCCCCTTGGCTAACAGGCCATGCTGCTGGGGTCGAGGCTGGCCGTGCCGGGCTTCCTCCCGGGCTGCTGTGTTGGTCACGGCCCCGACAGAGCTTCCTAATCCCTGCGGTCTGCCCGCTACACATCCGTGCAGCTGTGAGAATGATGCCGCCGCTGCCTCCCCCTGCTCAGCCGATGATGAAAGGAGGAGGGGACCGGCAACGACAGCCGCGGGCTCGCTACCACTCACTCCTCGCTCTCCCCCCTTACCCTGCACATCCTCTCTGCCTCTCTGATCCTTCCCCTCTCTTTGCTCCTCCTTTCTATCCCCATCTGCTCTCGCGCGCTCAGCTGTCTTGCATAACGGGCTGCTGGTCGAGCGAACAAGTCGCTTACGCTCCGGAGTGCGCTGCCCTTGTTCGTTCTCTGGTGAAGGGGAGAGAAACTGCTTCGGATGCCGCTGCTCTAGAATGCAGGGTTGTTGCTGGTGCTGTTGATTGAGGAGTGAGTGCTGCTGTTTACGCAGGAGGTTGGTGACACTGCTCTTCCTTCGGCCTTTGAAAGTGGTGGTGAAGAAACTCTCTTTCAGAAAGGGCACCTGGGTCTCCACTGTCTTAATGGTGTGCATCCTGGACAATCGAGGCGGGCTGAAGTAGAGGGAAAAAAACAAGTGAGAAATAAATCCCATGAATTGATTTAAAAGTCGAGCTTGGTGTCTGAATGGCAGTTGAAAGGCAATCGGTTCTCAGTGGAGTCATGAGGTAAAAGTTGAAGATGAGTGCAAGCTGACATAAGAGGTCTAATGTCTCTGATATTGGTATGTTTTCATAAACTAATTGAGGAAATAATCATCAGACTAATTAACAATTTCAATAAAGGTTTGTTTCAGCCATAAGATACGTACATTTAAGTACATATAAGATAAGTACATTTTATTATATTACTATTATGTATTTAATAAAAAATATAGTTTGTTATTAATTGTAAAACCAGCATCTAATTTGATCAAATTAGTTAGTTTTAATATCAAATCCAAAATGTACTTTAATGGCACTTTATACAGACAAAAAAGATCACACACGGAAAACATTTAATTTACAAGTATGTCTTAAAGCTTATTATGGAAGTTCATGTAATTAGCCTGTGTAGAGGCATGAGTTAGCACTGTGTAATGGGTGTGGCACACTCAAAGTAGAGCCTTCTGTCACTAATTATTGTTTGCAAATTAAGTGGGTGAAACTAATAGCACACAAAGAAATACATGAACAAATAAATGAATTACACATTCTTAAAGGATCCAAATTAAAAGAAGAAAATTACCAGAAAGGACCAAACCAGTAGTTCATTAAAGTTTGTGTCAAAAACTAACAACCTTGTCATTAGCACTTCAGAAAAACTTATTGTTATTCATTTTGTAACACAAAGAGTTGATTTCCAAATCTATGAAATGGTTAAAAAAGTCCTCAGTGGATAAGCCTCTAAGGTCAGATTTTTAAAAAGAGTGTATTATAAATAAAAGTGTACTTGCCGGACTGGTGGATTCTCTTCAGTGGTTCAGCCCCGACTGAGCAAAACAGCACAATTGGGTGTTTGTCTATGAGCCGCTCCTCAGCCACGGGTCACATGAAGTTGGTATTTCCCTCATCACATGTCTGGCCTGTTGGCCATCTTCCATTAGCACTGTCTGAGACTCCACTCACTAACTTCATCAGACCTCATCGTGTCCACATACTCTTTGTTAATGTCCTGCTAGAGTCAGACAGTGGGAAGATATCATTTGGACAAAATTGAAAATATTTTAAAAATCGCTTCCATACACAATATCCAGGTGGATTTAGTTTTTCTTTGGGTCTGGAGCACCCTGGTGCCACATTTAAGTCCAATTAAGAAATTAGTTTCACGCTTTCACCAGACATCTCACTGAGCCTAATTGGTGATTTAAACATCTACAGTTTTCTGGAGAGAATAGATATTCTAAACCGTCTGTCTGGCCAAGTAGACAGTGGGACATTGTTTTAGTTGATAAAGAAAAAATATGTATTTTACATTATATTATGGGAGATTTCTGAATATTTCCTAGGCAGGGAATAAATTATACAGCTGTATAATGAACTAGTCTCCTGCTAAAACAAGCCACAATAGGTAATACAAAAAAAGTTAAAAATACAGAGAAAAATAACACAATCAGAACTCAGAAAATACATTTCTGTCAAAAGTTTTTTGCTTGTTTATTGACTTAAAATATGAGTATGGATGGCATACTTGAAATGTTTATGTTCAGCATTTTGCTAGTGTACAATCCCAATAGTACAAAAAACTTGTATTTCAATAAAGAACGTATCACTGTAGCCTATTGTGTTGAAAGCAAACTAAATACCCACTGATGACAAGCATGGGATCATTTTTCAACATCTCATTAGTATACAACACATAAATCAAATCATCGGATACATAATCTAATCAACCAATTCTTCAATATGCCTGTTGGCATAGAGCTTTTCTTTGCCTTCTATATATCTTTTGCACAATATTCAAGACTTAGATGTGGCAACAATAAAAAAAGAAAACTACTCGAAACAATAATAACAAAATGTGTATTACAAAATGTAGGATAAATTCATTGGCATCATTATGCAGACTATTGGTGGTGTTCCATCATTTTCTGTATCGAAAAAAGCAATGACCACCAAATCGTTCAACTCTTCAACTCTAAAAACCTCTCCCATAAATAATATGAAATTGAACCGAAAATAATAATAAGGTTGTGGCAGAAAGTATTGTAATTCAATTGTTGTGGCCATTCCTCAGTAATATGCCTGCTAGGTTTTCTTTTAGATTTAAAATCTCAATTCACAAAACAAGCTTACGGCATGAATAATTGTTGCACAATTAATTAAGAAAGGTTTTGTCTTGACTTACTGCACTTGCCCTTCTTAAGCCACTAGAGGCTGCTATTACTCCACTATGTGAAAGACAGGAGGCCTATTACAAAGAGTTATTTCAATGTGTCATTTAGTAAAAATCTAAAAGATAGTGTGAATCAAAACACACATCTTTATAAATGAACATCTTTGTGTGCAATCAATCATTGTGTACCAAGTCATAAATATCCAAATGTACACAAACAGAATATTATCAATGCATTATCATTACTCATGACTGAGAACTGCAAGTACATAAAACACCACCAATGTACTTACTGTCTCCACCATAAAAACCACAACAATCACATTGAACACAACAGCAGTTCACTGTAGTGCCACACAAAATATTCACAACTCAGTTCGTCAGAGGATTCCTTTTCAGACTGGCTCAAAATCTTAGGAATATCACAAAAATAACAATATATCTGTTGGCTGAAAGTAAGGACACAGTTCAAGAACTTTGTTGTATTCCATCAGACACAGGAAAGCTATATCCATGTAGAAAGGCCGTGCACAGGCGTTCCGATAAAAACACGTCAAGAGGACAACAGGTCAAATCATTACAATGTAGAAGCCTGTGACACAAAATAGGGTTTATCTTAGCTCTCAGTGACGCATTACAGATACACCGTTTTGTTTTAAATGTAAAACCACTCTGCACGTTACAGATATAGCTACACACAAAGAGAAATAATTAAAATATCCCCAACCCTGTAACAAGGACATCTTTTTCCCTTGTGTCAGGTCGACTTCAAATATTCTCCTGCAATGCAATTTAAAGCCCTTTGCTATTGTTTCCCACACCGAAATGGTAAAATGTTCTTCAAGGACAGTTGGCAAGTTTTCTTCTCTGAGCTTGAATTTACACAAACCCTTTGTTCATACAACTGCTCAACTGCTTTGCCCAATGTATGCACTGACACAAACACATACTGCAAGAAAACCACACGTCGGGTTGCTGTGTTTGACATACGAGCAGAGAAACACATTATGGATCTCTAAGCAAAACAACTCCATAGAAACAACTAGATGTTCACGTTTTCCTTTTCCTATGTAAAATCGTTTGATTCTGTGTTTATTAACCATTCAAACCTGTCCATTACGTGGAATCTCTGGGAATCCTCCTGTGGAATACCACAGATTGTCTCTGCTGGAACTGCTGCTTCCTCCTTTTTTTCTGGTCCCACTGGCACAGCAGAATCATCTTAAAGGTCGTACGGAAAGTCTTGTTGCACAGGGCGTAGCACATGGGGTTGACCGTGCTGTTGACGTAGCACAGCCAATACCCTACGTCCCACAGGATGCCCGGGACGTCACAGAAGGTATTGATCAGCACCATGATGTTGTACGGCGTCCATGTGATGATGAATGCGAAGAGGATGGCACTGAGGGTTTGAGCCGCCTTCTTCTCCTTCACTAGGGACATGCGCTTCCTCTTGGTGATCTGCGTTCGGGTTCTGGAAGCAAAGCGCTTTGCAAGAGCTGCATCTTTGAAGGACATCGGGACGGACTGGGATTTGGTGGTGGTAGCGTCGGAGGTTGTGGAAGCAGTTGTCGTGTGAGCATCGGAGCCTTGGTTGGAGGTAGGCTGGATGGTGGGCATTGACTGGATCTTTCGCGAGCAGAAGCGCTGGTGATAGCTATTTTCTGAACTGTTTGCCTCATCCGCAGTTGTGGTGGCAGTGGTGTTGTTCGCGACTGTTGAAAGGCTATCTCGTTTATCCTCCGCTCCCCTGAGGGGATCCTCCTCTGAGGCCACGTCCAGGTCCTCGCATGAGGTGAGTTGGGAGTTTACAGCAGCCTTTATACCGGGCAGGGTAAGAACAATTGAGAAAATAGCATGACTTTGGGAAATCATCTCTTTGCCCCCGCAGTCCTCATCTTCTGAAGAGCCGGAGTGGTCTAACGAGACGGCGGCGTCATTGTTGTTCCAGCTGTCGCTGCTGCTCTGGTCTGGATCGCCCTCCCCGTGCCTTGTGCTACCAGGTCTCCAAGAACGAACCCCAGGCCAGCAGTGGAAGCGGCCGACCAGCTCCTGACATGTGCTCCTTCTCCGGGACAACCTGGTTAGCTCGTAGCTGCTGCAACTTCTGGAACTTCCAGTCTGATGGACGAAACGTGATTTCTCGCCTCTACCGTTGCCACCCCTTCCTCCTATCCCACCACGACTCCCTGAACCCTGCAACCCAGCCAGCTCTTTTGATCGGTTCTGAGTCTCCTGGTATATGCGCCAGTAGAGGATACTCATTATAGTCACAGGGAGGTAGAAAGCTGCAATGGCGGTGCAGATAGTTATAGTGGGCACTTTGAGGAACTGAATCTGGCACTCACCCGCGGGCACTGTCCTTTCACCTTCAAAGTATTGCCAAAATAGAATGGCTGGGGCCCACAGGACTAGAGAAACAAACCAGGCTAGGCCGATCATCATCCCGGCTCTCTTCGTGGTCCGTTTGGCCCGGTAGGTCAAAGGCCTGGTGATTGAAAAATAGCGATCGAAGCTGATGACCAGTAGGTTCATCACTGATGCATTGCTGGCCACGTAGTCTATAGCCAGCCAGAGGTCGCAGGCCCAGTTGCCCATTGCCCAGTGGCCCATTACGAGATAAGCTGTGTAGAGGTTCATGGAGATGACCCCTATGATGAGGTCAGCGACAGCCAAGCTGAGCAGGAAGTAGTTATTAACAGTCTTTAGCTGGCGATTAACCTTGAAGGATACTACCACCAAGATGTTTCCGATCACAGTGATCAGTGACAGCGTGCCTGTCAGCAGGACAATTAGGACAACCTGCCACCAATGGTGACCACCCAAGGGATCCTGGGGCACAGTTGCATTTCCATTTTGGGATTCCGAGGTGAGGTTTAAGAGTTTGCTGGTATAATTTTCATCCAGGTTATTCACATAAACCAACCATGGTGCTGCACTTGCTCCTTGGTGGAGAGCATTGGGTTGTGGGTAGGCTCCGGCTGCTGGTACTGGTGTGTTTGCAGTCAGGAAGAGACCAGGGTCTGTGCTGTTGAAGCTCATTGTTATGTCCTGGCATACTCTAAAGACGGAGACACAAATAAAGGATAGAGAAGAAGGGAGATAAAGATAGGGGGGGTGGGGTGTAGAGTGACAGAATGAAATGGAGAAAGGACACATGATCAGTTGCCATTTCTATTCATATCCAGTAGGTGAGGCTAGAAACCTACTATCATGCTTGGGTCTGACTTGTCCACGTGTTTGCAGTCAGTAATTTGCAGACATTCTGAATGCATTAGAAGACATATATCAGATTTACAACTTGGCATCTAAATCAACATGGTTGCACACTGTCACACCAGCGAGACAGCCTGGCTGCATTCGACACCTGCCACTTATGACACCCTGCAAATTGCAAAGACATTCCACTTAAAGACAGCAAATGGATTTTCCCAAATATTGCACCTTGCATGACATTAGGCCTTGAATGGGAGAGGTTTTGTGGTCAGGTGTGGAGGTTGCACGCTACTGATTTTTTTCTGAAATCGTATGTCAGTCAGTCTTTTATTCATACACATAGACAAAATATATATTTATAAGTAATAGTTATATCATTTTATAAGTGTGAGCATGACAGACCACAGGAAGACAAAAAGCTGTTTTCTTTAAATTCCCCCGTCCAAGTCACAGGGAAGGTAAAGACAATGTGTCTGTCATATTAAGTAGGGGCTTGCAGACAGCCCGTAAGAATGGAGGACAACGAGGAGATAGATCCATTGAGGAAGAATCCTGAGACTCCCTGGCTGAATATAACGTTTTTTGGTATCCGATTGATAATGGAAATCCTGCGGTGGATAATTAGCCAATAAACTGAAGATCCTGTGATTTCTGTCTTCTTTTTGAAACAATTATTCACAATTAGATACCGGTTATTTTGCCACTCCAGTTTTTCTGTGAAACGCCATTGAGTTTTGCATCCAGATGCATCTTTGCTTGTTGTATTTCACAACATCACACATTCAAATAGAACACAGAGTTGTATAAAAACTGATAAATATCATTCAATTCATGAATATCATTCATTTGGAATATTATGGATCTAATCTAAATGATTTGGCCAAGGGTATTTATTTGTGGTAGTGAATTACATTTATTAACCACAAATAAGAACAAATTGTCTTAACGTGATACAGTTGAATATACAGTAAATGTTTAGTAACAAATGTGGAAAAGAGGTTTTGTGTGATTTGATAAAAAGTGAAAGTCACATTTATGTTTTTCACCATTTTTTTATTCGAAACCTGAAAGTACCCTAAACCAGCTGGTGTTAAGGGAACAAACACCAACCTGTAGTAGGAAGTTCCCCACGAGCCTCACCACCACTATTTACACAAATACACCGACTAAATAAGTGCAGACAACGCAATTGAAACACATATACAGTAAACGCACAAAAGCACACATACACAGTATTTCGAACCCCGTGTTCGGTATTTTAAGGTGAGTGCTGCACCTGTGCCTCGACAGAATCTCAGACCTCCAACTGAGCTGTTAAAGGACGCCAGTAGCCAAAAGCTACTGACAGCCGCTAGTGACATTGAGCACACGCTGGTACCACTTTCATCAGTAGGCTCCCCTCTGTGGACACAGGTATGCACATCACTGCATCCTTCACATGATCTGTTCTCACGTTTAATGAAAATACTGGTTATCTCACATGAAAATGTGTATAGAATAGAGGCAAAAGACAAAGGCTTGCAGAACAGAGGAGGAAAGAGTGTCAGACCCCTCTGCAAGAGCGACAGGGTAGTCAAGGGATGACACACATGTGTTTAAAATTCACGGCAGAATATTATAAGAGAATATAACAGAAACTAAATGTTAGTCATACTCGTTTGATACAATTACGCTGTATCATTTTGTATGCTGTCAAATATACATTATACATATATTTTGTACCCAACATTGACTGATCCCACAGCAAAGGTATTTATATGGGTCGATCAGGCCTGTCTGTTGCCTCAAATTGCAATGATTAACTACCATAGATTTACATCTGTAATCCCACGAGGGACACAGCTGGCTGCACAACAGAGGACAAGTGTTTCCCCTATTATTAAACTGATCAAGCCTTTTAAGATGAAAACTGTATCCAGCAGACGACAACATGGGTCGGCCAGCAAGACTTCAAAACCATGCTGCTATCCCAGTGAAGCCCTTGTAGTGATCTCTCTCTCTCTCTGAGTGGAGGGAGTGCTGAGTGAACGGAGCGTGAGGTGAATTGTTTGAATTGCGTTTTCTATCTGCTATTTCGTTTATTTTCGGTGTGGTTCTGGTGTGTGTTGTGGTGTGAATGCGTGGTGGTGTGTCTTTTGTCTCTTTCTGTGTTAGTTTGTGCGTGTTTGTAGCCGGTCGGCATGTCGGACCTCGCGGGGCTGACGCGGAAGCACGGCGTGAAGCCCGAGCGTGCTCGGAGGACTGCGTGACCGGAGGACTGCGGTCTGGCCGTGGGGGGGTTGGTGGGTCACGGTAGCGTGAAGTCCGCCGTGTGGATGAACCGCGCGGTGGTCATCTTCCTGGACAGCGTGGAGAAGGCGGCTGGTCAGGTTAGTGAGGGGGTGAGTGTGGGGATGAGTGAGGGGGTGAGTGTGGGGACGGGTGAGGCCCAGCTGGTCGGTCAGGGGTGTGAGGGGGTGAGTGAGGCAGTGAGTGTGGGGGTGAGTGTGGGGACGGGTGAGGCCCGGCCGGTCGGTCAGGGGGGTGAGGGGGTGAGTGAGGGAGTGGATGGGGGGTTGAATGTAGCCCAGCGGGCAGGTCTCCTGTGTGACAGAGTGAATGAGGGGATCGGGGTCCAACGGGAAGGTGAAGGAGGTCGGGGGGGGGCGTGTTGGTGGGGGTGCTGTCCGAGGTGGAATCTCGGACAGCGAGGAGGATATGGAGGAGGAGGGGGGGGGGGGCTTTAAGGAGGTCTGGCTCCTCCTAAAGATCGAGTAGGAAGGAGGAAGCACTACTGGGACTGAGTGAGGCGTCCGTCCGGCTGAGGAGGATCCTGAGCGGGGGGGCGGCCTACTGACCGAGAAGGAGATGCTGGAGGAGAACGGCGGAGTCCGAATCTACTTTGATTATTTTATACTGATTACACTATATGTTATACTAAATTGATTATGCTATATATATATATATATATATATATATATATATATATATATATATATATATATATATTATCTCCAAAACCTGTTCGTAAAACTGTATACGAAAATCTTGAACATACAAATTCGTAACAATACATACGAACTGCCGGTGGTTAACCACGCCCCTTGCGTGAACAAATTGGCGGACCATGTTGGATTCTTGAGTGAACGTCTCTCCGCCATGTTGGATTTTTTGAGGGGGTTAGGGTTAGTATTCTATTCTTACAAGTTAACATTGATTTCTCGTTAAAAATGCAATCATAACATGTTCATTTTACATCGTAAGTGTGTTTACATTTTTACGAACAGGTTTTGGAGAACAGGCTGCCTGTGACAAACACAACACATATCGGGAAGCAAGAACAGGATCGGCTGTATGTCCTCCATTGTTGTTTGCGGTTAGCTTTCAGTTTTTGCGCGATCGAATGACGTCAATCTACTTTCCGTCATATACCACGCCTATCAAGTGACGTTACCACTACTTTCTGGAACACACCACGCCTATCAAGTAAGGGTACTGTTGGCGGTGGAAACGCTCGCCAAATCATGGTTAACAGACCCAACCCGTACCGACCCGACCCGTACCGCTCGGTGGAAACGCGCCATTATATTGTCGGCTTATTGATTTTTTAAATGTGAAATAAAGGTTTTCTAAAAATCAAAATCTCTCTCTCTCTCCCCCCCTCCCTCTCCCCCTCCCCCTCCCCCTCCAAACCCATCCAGAGGTCCATATCGCAGATTGGACTCGCAGGGCCGTAGGTGTGATGGTTTCAGGTGCACCGAAGAAATCAATATTCGTTTACTGAGTTCTGTGTTCCTTGACATTTTGTCCAAGCAGGGTTGGACAGCGCAATCCAAATTGGGTCCAAGGATCCATCTTAATGATTGGGTGTTTAATACAAAGCCATTCCAGGTTTCTATTTTTAGCAACTATTAGCAGCGGAGCAGCAACACGCACAGATGATGTCCAACAACGGTGAGTTGCTGACAGGTGCTTTTTGATAAAGGTTAAAGCTGCTATAATTGGATGCATCGCCTTGAGTGCCATCACATGCCTTGAGCGTTGAGAGGTGCTGTTCCCCCAATACCATTATTTACATATACATTGGAGAGGTTTAATAAACAATTTATACAAAAATAAAATGATTGGCTTGGCTAAAACTTTACAACTGGCTCATGTAGCATCTTATGTAATGTGATCTTGCAGCAAGTGCAGAGAGAAATCTGGATTTTTTGCATTTTACCACAATGGGGCATTATTATAAAAACAACTCAGGCGTCAACAGCTTGAACAGAGGAAATAAAACTGCCAAACCAGGCAAAGCCGGACTCAACCATGAAATGAAAAGGTTTCCTATTCAAGCTGAGAAAAAAAAAAAAATCAACGGCCGCAGGGGAATAATAAAACGGAGTTGTGGCTTCTGGCAATTATAAGCATTATAAGCATACACATTCAGCCGACCCAGCAGATGCGCTGTTGCATAGTGATTACGAATGCGGATCTTTGCCTTGTAGTAAGAGGGGAGTCCAGGAGAGACTCAATACAAACTGCGCAGAAGCCTTGCGTTTGAAATATCTAGTATGATTTTACCAGCGGAATGTTCAGACCATGCGTTCACACAAACAGGCGTTATTTGCATAAGATGACCAGTAACTGGGAATATAAAAAGGTCATTTTCTTGCAACCCCAAAAAACGAAAGACGTATTATTGGTTTTATTCACAGTATACAAAACTTTCTTTCGGAAGTAAAACTATAAATAGGCCAATGTTATTCATTTTTTTACTCTGAAGTAAACACACTCATTACAGCGCAATCAGAGTCCTGCGTTCTCCAACAAAACCAAAAAGGCTCTGACGTTTGGTGACCCCAAGAGCAACCACTAATT